CAAGGAAAACTTGAGTAAAATCTTCTTACAGGTCAGTATTTCTCCCTTGTTCATCCTGATGCATCAGGACAGTCCGTATGAAATATTATTACCTGGGGCTTGTCCTCACGACTGAGCGAGGTAAAAAGTGCCTGGGCTGGCATATTCAAATCTCACATCTCATCTTTCATTCTCTTTCTAGCTGATGCATTAGGTTTCCTCCTCTTCAAATGCAATTATTTTAAAGAGCAGTTTATGGTATAAAAAGAAAACAAATGCTTCATTTTTCCCCCATAAATTATTTTAACCTGGCTCCAGAAAGCAGTTTGAAGGTGCTGTGGGCTCCTGTGGAGCAAAATGTCATCTTGATATAAATCAGGAATATTATTTTATTAATATTTGAGTAGCTGTAAACTACCAGTATTGAGGAAAAACGTGATCACTCTCTGGAGAGACCTTTGTTGTTTCTGTTCACTTCAAATATATTTTAGTAGCAAATTTACAGAGACAATTTAATTTTTAAAGTGATACCGATCTGGAGGAAGGTGCCACCTTCAACATTGGTGATTGCAGGTTACAAATCGGATACTTCAGCCTTTTGCAAATTAAACAAAAACCAGAAAAAACTTTTCCCGGAGTACGGAATGGGGGAAAACCCGGACTGGATTTTTCCCGGAGTGCGGAATGGGGAAAACCCGGACTGGATTTCGGACAGAGTACGGAATGGGATTTCAAAAAAAAAAGAAAAAAGGGAGGGAAGGGAAAAAAAAAGGAAAAAAGGGAAAAAAGGAAAAAAAAAGGTTAAAAAAAGGGAAAAAGGGGAAAAAGGAGGGAAAAAAGGAGGGAAAAATAGGGAAAAAAAAGGAAAAAAAAAGGGAAAAAAAAAGTTAAAAAAGGGAAAAATCCCCACCACAGCCCAGCAGGTTTCTAGGGGAATGCAAATTATTTCTGCAGTTCAGAAGCTGCACATCCCTAAAGCATTCCCTTGGGAACACCAAGCTTTCCACAAGCATTTTCTACATCAATTTGGACTTCCAGCACATTTAAAGACAATTTAAATCAGAATGAGAGGACTTGGTGACAGCACAGCATTGGGTCAGGGACATCAGGACACTCAAACCATCCTCACTGTGGACTCTCCAGCCCCTGCATTCCTGAAGCCTCCTCATTTCCCACAGACTCCCTTCTATTTCAAGGACTCCCATCAGGAAACAGATCCCTGTTCCCAGAAGCAAATCCCAAGGCTCTTTTTTACAACCTGCAAACCACAAGAATGACCAAGGGCAGCTGCTGGCAGAGGACACAAAGAGGATTGTGGGGATCAGACACCTTTACCTGGGAGGGCTCCACCTGCCATCCACAAGCAGCTCTGGGTTTTCATGCTGCTTTGCTTCACAGGGCCTTTTCTGCCAAGCTCACTGCTGGAGGATTTTGTCTGGTCTTGAGACATGCCTCAAAAGACTCCTTTTGGGAGCACCACGAGCCATCTCTGCTGCAGCAATGGAATTCCATCTCCTGCATGGACAAGCAGGGGGAAAGCCAGGACCTTTCAGGTCAATTAGGGACATCCAACAGCAGCTCCAGTAAAGGTACTGACTCAACACCCCCCCAAAGACACAGGACAGCAAGGGCCAACACCTCAACAATCACTGCAGTTAGCAGTTTAGAAAGCCAAACTAAAGCAAAGCTTTTCAGACACTTGGGAAGAGTCCATCCCATTGTAACCAGTTGGTGGGACTCATTCCCAGCCTGCTGAGGTTCATTTCCCACCCCACTCGTGGCTGCACTAGACCTGGTTCAGAAACTTGAAACTAAGAACCCTGTTACACTGAGTTTTACTGACTTAGAAATGTAAAATTGTTTTGAAAAGACCTCTAAGCCCCTTAATGTCTTTGTGCATTTGTTTAATTCTTGTAAATTTAGAGGGAAAACAATTAAAACACCAGGATGTGATTAAGTTAATCAAGTTAGCCATTAGATTACATAGGGGTATTGCTGCTGTCATCTTTTTAACTGAGTCCTTGGCCAGTTTAATGAATTTATAGATGCTTAAAATAAAATACAGTCTCTTCATAAAAATATGGCAGCTCTTATGGAAGCATCTCTTAAAAACCAGCCCTTCTCTAATAAGCTGAGTGTTAAAAATCAGTCGAGAGGAAGGACCATCAGCAGCTCACCTGAGTCCATCTGTGGCAATCCTGGGAAGAAAAGCAGAATCCTTCCAGTGAAGTCCCCGTGTCTGTGGAAAGGGGTTCGTAAGAGGGGAAGCATCACGGGGAATGTTGACAGATATTTAATTATAGTGGCAGTAGTGGCTGTTGCTGTGTTAATAGCATCTGGCAGCAGAGTCGCTGCCATCTGTTAGTGCCCTGAGATTCTGGGTATGGTGCGTCCTTTGTGGAGGAATTAACAATAATTAACAAATCTATCAAATGGAATCACCTCGACTGGGTGACAGCTTTGCCTTGATAATGGTGAATTGCAAAATAACAGGGAGTAAAATGTCCACTATTCCCCTTTTATTTTGCTAATGCTGCTCTCCTAGTGCAGCATCCTGGAGGGTTTCCTTTTAAGCCCGTGGTGTGAGGCAGCATTTACTGCACTTACTTTAAATAATCCTTGTAAGCAGAGCTAGGTTAAAAACAAACTTCTGCATATGCCTTTCCATTTGCAACAGATTTGGGCTTTAAGACCAGGTGTGGGTCTGTTGATGCATGGTAACTTATTTATTGTTAAATAGGGGAGAAAATGAGGTTGGACTGCAAGATGTGACCCTTCCATCAGAGTCAGGTCAGCCTGAAAGAACAATTGAACTGCATTAAAGTGTTTTTGTTTTGGTTTGTTTTTTTTTTTGGTTAGCAGAATATTAGAAGCCAGACCATTAATTTCTGATGAGTCAGTTTGTTTTCAAAGTGACGAGGAAAAAATAGTCTATTTGTTTGCATTTGGAAGAATTATTTTTGAGTATCTATTTTTATCAAAGCCAATATTTCGATGGGTGCAGTGAAATATATCACTGCCAGAAATTATAGCCAGAAACAAAGCAATGAGCCAGCTTGAGACCTGCTCGGGGTTTATTTTTCTCTTAACTCCCCTTTTTCTCTTTGCTCCTGCTGAGCAACAGATGGAGAAGGTAACATAATCTCTGCTTAAACAGGAGAACTGTAATAGGTGATTGAGGTGTGTTAATTATCAGGAGCGATAGGAGGGAAAGAATAAACTGGGGAATCTTGAAGCCAAGTAAACTGGTGTTTTATTTCCCTTTTCCTATGTCAGTCTGTTAATATTCTGAATATTGCTCTGGGACCCGCAGAGAGAAGGCAGCATATATTTTTCCTGCGTCTTTCTATTCATTCCCAAGTGGCAGAAGTCTCTCTGGGCTGGGATTTGGGCTGATTCCAACTCCTGGTGGAGCTGCACTGACACCAAACCATGAGCAGAGGTGTGGAAAGCTGGGGATGTGCCCTGCTGGGATTTATCAAAGCTCCCAACACAGGAGCTGTGCATCAGACTTCTTTTCCCCCTTCTCCCTTCCCCTGGAGTGAATCTGATGGTAAAAGCTCCCCTGGTGCAGGAGGCTGGGCTACAGCTGATTTCTGGTGTTGGTGTCTTCACCCCTCCCTCCCTTGACCTCAGCTCATGAGAGGTTCGTGCATTCATCACACACAGCATGTACACAGCCATCCCCACCCCACACTGCTAGAAGATGTTCTGAAACGAGTGATTTTATCTTCTGTTGCTCTTATTTGACTTGGCATCACGGGATCACAGGCAGGCAGTGGCTGGTGGGATGTGGCAAACACACAGACACTCCTGTTTTAGAGCTTGGAAGAAGGGCTTGTTTCCCTCTCACTGTTATTTCCATGCAAGGCACTGTTTTCTGCTTAGGAGGATTAGGAGATATGCATTAAACAGTGCTAAAGATGCTGAGGCAGTTGATGTTTACGTCCCTTGTGGAATTATTCATTGAAATATTAACTGCTAGACAGCCTCTTTTTTGTTTGCTTTGTTTTTTTGTTTTGTTTGTTTTGGGTTTTTTTGGGGTTTTTTTATTCAGTGATTTAGTAACCCACTCCAAAATCACCTTTTGTGATTCAGACACTCGAAGACTTAACAAACCCACCAAAATTACCCCCAAAACCCCACTAATTTTTGGGTTGATGTTTCTTAAATTGTCACGGCGAAGAAACTCGGAGGGATTTGCGGAGCGGGTGAGCTGCAAGATTTGACTCAGACCTCTCCCATCTGCACCAGCAGCTTTCCCTAACACACAGCACTGGGAAGATCTGAAGGGGCTGTATCCTTTCCAAGGATTTTGGAGATCACAGATACGTGTGTGTGCGCTGAGTTTTGGTTCGCAGAAGCTCGTGACATGATGACAAGGTGTTACCTTGAAGTGCTCTGTCTCTCATCTCTTTTCCCTCCCCATGCCTTTCTTAAGATGTTTTTTAGTGGTTCTGTTCCTCTGCATGGTGGGGACATGGTGGTGTTCTTGTCCACATCCTTCTTACCATGGGCTCTCCAGAGCTGGTTTCCTTCCTTGTGCCCAGTTTTCCGGCTGAGCAGGTCAAGTCTGCCCTTGCTGCTCTTCTCCCTGCCACGTTTAACATGTGCTTCCTCCCACACAGGGTTTTCCACGATGTTTCTGTTTCTCAGCTCCGTTCTGAGCAAGCCTGGGTGACTCTGGGGGTCAGAGGTGCCAGCTGATGTTTTTATCGATGCAACTCTGTGAGGGGCCAGGCCGGAGATGCACATCGATCATTTTCTGTGGATTTTGCTGGGTGACCCAGAGGCAATTCCCCCACCCCACCAAGCTCGTGGCATTTAAGAATTGCCCACGTGGGATCCCTGCATCAGTTGTGTTGCCTTGTAATTTCATTTTCGCCGAGCTTTTCTTGTCGGGTTCTGCGGGCTGGGCCTGAACCCAGCGCAGTGTGATGACAAGTGCCTGTCAGCCTCTGTGTGTGCTTAAATGAATACTGATGGTATCTCTCTTGTGTGTTTTTTTGTGTGTGTTTCAGGAAAAAAGTGCCAGTTCAAACGTAAGACTTAAATCTAATAAAGAGATCCCAGGATTAGTACATCAACCCAGAGCAAAGTAAGTTCCATTTTTGTTGTTTGAGTCGTAATACAAATAAACACAGGGTTAAGCAGTGTCCCTGAGATTCAGGGTTGCTGCCTAGTGCAGCCCAGCTGGTGGCTCCAGCAGCCCTAAAACCACACTCAGTTTAAGTGCAGTAGAAAAGGTCACTTGTGTCCCAAGACCTGCAGAACACTGGGCAGCATCAGCAAAGATGCAGGACCTAAAAACAGCTGAGATGCACGTTGTTATGGCTGGCAGGAGACCCATCCTGTGTTGTTTCTCAGCTTTCTATACAACTTACACATAACTAAAATTACTTCTCTACTCGTGTTCATAAGTACTATTGGTTAAGTTCCTGGGAAGGTTTTTGCTCCTGGTTTTCTTTAGCAGCTGTACTGCCTGGGATTGGGATTGGTAAACTCCTTCCATTTACAATGGTCATGTTAAAGTGGGGGTTGTTTTGTAGCTGAGAGTTTTTCCACCCTTGGCTGGCAGTTCTGTGCCCCTACCCTGGCTGAGGTCAGTCAGCCTTACATATGACATGAAATATTTGACTCTTGTGACAGAGCTGGTGCTTGATATTAGTAACTCATTTCTTACCTAAATCATCATTACGTTTTAATCACTAATTGGCTTGAAAATAACAGATTACATGGAGCTGTGTATCAGGTTCATAACGAACAAGTGAGGAGGCTTTGCTGTTGGATTTTGAACACTATGGAAATGCTGTTCTTTATGCCCTGCCCTCGGGGCACTTATTAACTTTAACTTGCTGAATATCAACTGCTTTGAACTTGGTTTCAAGACTGGAAACTTTAGTAATTTCCTAATCAACTGACAGTGTAATTCAGCCTCCTTTCAAAGGGAAAAAAATAAGTGCTTTGGTTGTAATTGCAAAGAAATTCACAGGAGGAAGGTGGAGGTAAAATCACTCTTTAGCAAAGCTGTGCTTCATTATTGTGGCTCTGCCCTTCCCAGCAGGGTCAGAGATGTATTTAAGATGTTCTGTCACAAGGCTAATTACTCTGGGGTAGAAAAGGGTCATCTTTTGGTACATCCAAGGCAGAGGGAACAGTGTGGGGTCAGGGTTTCCATTCTTTCATCAAACCCATCGTTTTAAAGGTCCCTGCAGAAATCAGAACTGACATTGAATAGCCAAAAAGCCTGTTTTTTTAAAATTGCATTGGCAGAGGTAAATATTTCCGTGCCAGTCCTGCCAAAACAAGTGAACTTCTGAGAGAGGTGAAGGATGTCACAGCAGGTTGTTGGGTGGAAGCTCCACTGTTTGCCCAACTTACCATTGCATTTCTGTCTATAAAAAGTGGCTACATGTGTTTGAGTTGCTAAATGCCAAGTCAGCAAATAGCTGTTATCATGCACAGTTATTTTTTTAAAGGTTTGTCTTCTAAAAACCATGACAATTCTGGCTGCTGGGAGGGGTAGCACTGGGGGGGAAAGGGCTGCTCAGCTGTACGAGCAGAAATGAGGAGATAAATCACTTCCAGGGATGGGGCAGCCACAGCTCCTGTGGGCAACCTGTGCCAGGGCCTCCCCACCCTCACAGGGAACAATTCCTTCCCCACATCCCATCTAACCCTGCCCTCTTGTCTCTTTAAAACTGTTGCTCCTTGTTCTGTCACTACAGGCTTGCTGAAAGGTCCCTCTCCATGTTAAATATTGGTATTTTGAAAGGCTGCAATAAGGTCACTCCAGAGCCTTCTCCTGTCCACACTGAGCACCCCCAGCTGTCCCACCCTGTGTCCATAGCAGAGCTGCTCCAGCCCTCTGACTGTTTCCATGGCATGTTCTGGACTTTCTCTAACAAGTCCATGACTTATTCTGGGGATGGATGCAGGTGTTCCAAAATTCTGCTGATTAAGTTCCCAGGGAAGATTTTACTCACTCCTTCTTGGCAGAGCTTCTCTGAATCCATTCATCACTCAGACAGTGCTGATACTGGGGATAAATATCCCGGCTTTTGGCAGAACGTGTTTCATCAGCCTGCCATGAAACATTTAAAGGTGTGTTCTCATGCCTTCTGATGTGCTTCTTACAAGGAAAATTAAATCCACATTTCGATTTTGGGGAAATCTTTTTTTTTTTTTCCTGTTCTGTTCTGTTCTCCAAGAACTCAGCTTCGATTTGGTGGTTTTCTGACTCTTCCAGTGTTCACTAAATCTGTCAGTTCCCTGCCCTGCAGTGGATTTTACAACTGTACACAGCTCCCCAGTTGTCAGCATTGGGGTGTCTTTCATCTCCGAATAGTAGGGCAGTTTTCCTGCCCAGACAAACTTGTGTGAAGATCCTGGACTGTCAGGTCTGTAGAACCTCCTGTGGGAATTCTCATGGATATGGCAATGCTCTTTTTTTTTTTTTTTTTTTTTTTCCTGCTTTCTTTTAGTTTTCTCAACAATTTATGGCTGGGGTGAGTCACTCCAATGTCATTTTATTAGAAGCAGTGCTGCGAAGGCAAAACTGTTTTTCAAGCACTTACCTACCAAGAAAGGGCTGCACTGCCCTAAAACCCTCTCCAGGACACCTGAACATGCAGGTGACTGGGTCAGCTGTCCCAAACAAGCATCTTTTCCCCATCTGAGGTGGAGGTGGGGGAACCTGAGGGACTGGGCAGACAGCTGGGGACAAAAAAACTCCCACAGCCCCTGAAAGGTGAATTGTTCCTGCTCCTGAATCACCAGCTTTAGGTTTTAATGCCATTTCTGAAACCTTCCCTTCAGAACTGAGCCCTCATTTATGTCCAACATAAGCAAATCATTGTATATGTTCATCCTGATAGCGAGGGCGGTGTGAATGCTGAGCTTTGTGGGGAAGTGCAGCCTGTTGTTGGGCACTTAGGGAGACCATTAACTCATGACAGCTGAAAGGATCATTCCGAGGAAGAGGGTGGGAATGCAAGCAAACCAAGCCAGCTTTTTGTGCTGGAGAAAATCTCCCAGAGCTGTGTGTCCCTCTGACCGTTTGGCATCGCTGTCAACACTGGCACCAGTCCCCATCCTTCCTTTCTTTCTGCAGCTTTTTTTTTGTGCACACTGAGTCCCTGGCACGTTTCCCCAGCCCCCCTGTGGGCCCAGGTGCTGCTCCCTGCTGTGGGTCCAGAGTCCCCATCCCTGGGGGGATTTACAGGGTGTGTAGATGAGGCACTTGGGGACAGGGGTAAGGGGTGGCCTTGGCAGTGGGAGGAATGGTCAGGCTTGATGATCTCAGAGGGCTTTTCCAACCTAAATGATGCCATGAATAACCTGTTAGGTCTGCTCAGGGGGCAGTGAGGACCACCCCTCTGGGAGGGAAGGACCAGCCTGGGCTCGTAGAACGTGTCAGGGCCCACCTGCAGCAGGATTGTGCAGATCCTCCCGTGCATGGCTTTAACCTCAGCGGTGTCTCACTTGGTGGTGGTGGAATTGGCAGCCTTGGAAAACTTGTCTGGACACAGAGGGGGCTGCCACTGGCCCGGGCAGCCTGCCTGGAAAAGGGAATGGCCTCCTCCATTCATTCTCCTCCATGGATGCACACGTGTCCCAGTTACCATCCCAAGCGTAGCACACGTGTACAGAGCTAAATGCAGTGAGGGGTTTTTTGGTTTTTTTTTTTGTGGGCAAACCAAAAATAGGAAAGAGGAAAGAAAAAAAAAAAAAGATTAAAAAAATTGAGACTGTAGATGAAAGTGTAAAGTGATTTATTTTTCACAATGGTGAAAAGCTGACAGCTGGGTCCCTCAGCAAACCCTGGGCTGCAGCATCAGTGTTCTGCAGTGGAAAAATTTCTCTTGTGCTGATACTGTTCCTTTTGCCTTCCAGCATGCACATCTCTGAAAGCCAACAAGAATTCTTCAGAATGCTCGATGAAAAAATTGAAAAGGTAAGGCACGGTGATGTAAATGGATGTTCTCAGGGGAGGACATGCAGGTTTCCCTGCTCCATGGGGAGGACACCTGGACCTGCCCGCTGCAGTGCTCCACATTCTCCATGATTTGGGGGGGATCTGGCCCAAGATCCCCTTCACTGCTCCTTGGTTAGATGGTTCAAGTACAAAGAAGACCAGAAAAGTAAAAGAGGTGGCAGGAGGTACCAGAGAGAATCCTTTGTCTTGTGGGAACATCACCAGTCTAGGATGGAGGGCATAAAGGAGAAGAGCAAAGTGAGATTTTATGTCATTACTGTTCTGATCTTTCATTGAATCTCTGTGGGAGACAACTGGAGCCTTGATGCTGGTAAAATATCTGGGATACCTGGGTGATTTCTTGCTGAACGTCTTCAAAATAGCTCCGGGCTCCAGGGGCTGTGTGGCTGTAGCTCTGCCTCAGGGCTCTGTGGACTGAAATGATGATGCTGGAGATGTTTTGAAGAAGAGGGTGAATAGTTCCTTGCATATCTCATTGTCTTGAGAGCAGCTTTCACGTGTTTCACAAGTCATTTAAATGAGAATCCTTCCCTGGGTGGATTTCAAAGCTTGGGGACACAGGTGGCCTTGGCAGCGCTGGGAGAACAGTCAGACTTGATCTCAGACGGCTTTTCCAACCTAAATGATCCCCAGTGATCCTGGGAATAATTGTACCACAGTGCAGATGGGAAACTTGAGGGATTAAATGGGCTATGTGGATCCAGTCTAGATCTCAGTCTTATTTGTCCCAAGCAACGAATTTGTGACTCTACTCTAAAAAGAATATAAATTGGGAAAGCAAAAAATGAGATAAAGGGAAAGAGTATAAGTGAGGAGAAGTTTGTAGATTCCTGAGAAGAATATTTCTGTACCAGTATTTCGCAGGGGTAAGGTTTTATGTAACCAAAGTGCATTTAAAAGTAGAATTTCTACGTGTCCATAATATAGCTACATCTCCTTTGAATAAGTGCTCTCACCCTATGAATATTCAGATGCCTTTCCTGGACACTCATCCCCTTCCATAATGTCAAATGCACAGTCTGCAGTGAAATGGATTTTCCAGAGGTCTGTGTTGTCTGCAGCCCAGAGCAGCTGAGGCTGTATTTGATTATGAGTCCTGGTTAGGTTTTTGTTTCAGGGCACCAATGCCATTCATGCCACACTGAGTGCAGCTGCCCACGTCTCTGGCTGGTTGGATCATGCCCTCAGATGTGTTACAGGTGATCTCCAGGGCACCTGTGCTAATTTATCTTCTAGATCAGGAGTTTGCTTAGAGGGAATACACAGTTCATCTGTCAGAAAGAGGGAGAGGGCTCTCCTGCTTTTCAGGCTGCTGACAGCTGATGGGACTGACTGGCAGGAGTTAATGTGCAGCTGAACGTGGGATTTGTGTTCTCTGGGGACCTCCTGTGCCTGAGGAAATAGTCTTCCTAAGGGAGGGTTTGGGTCTTTTAATTAAATCTTTGCCCACAACGCATTTTTTCCTAGGTATTACCACAAATGCCGGAAAGGTTGGAAAACGTGAGGGGTTCGGTTTGATCCCTAAATAGCGTTCTGAGGACACTGTCAAACAATTGAACGGGTTCTATCAGTGAGCAGCTCACCAGTTGCAGCTGAAATAGTTTGCAGAAGTGGGGGGGTGTTGCCTGTTGGTGAGGTTGATGAGGTCCCAAAACAAGTCGCGACGTTCCCGTGGTAACCGTGGCCGCGAGCAGCCTTGGATGTGTAATGGAGACACGGAGTCTGTCACCGGCTCCCGTGGGCTGTGCCTGCAGGAACTCTGCAGTCAGTCAGGAGCAAAAACATCCCTCAGCGTTGTGTTGGGATCCCAGGGGGGGTGTTGGGTCACTTCATGCGAGTGAGTAACAACAACTCTTACGTGTGAGCTACGCATTAGGCGGGGAAGCGAAACGGGTGTTTCGGGCTCCTCGCAGCGATTAAACGGGCGGGAAGGTCAGCTGAAATAAAAACTTCTGCAGTCAGAGTGTGAAATGGAAAGAACACAGGCTGGCATTTCACCAGCTGAAGTATTTATGAAGCCTGCAGATCAAAAGAAGAAAAGCTGCCATGAGACAGCCTGCGGGATCTCTCTCTGGCTGCCCCTACGGAGCTCAGCCCTCTCCTGCAAATGCCACCCAAAGGTAACAACCAGAACGTCAACCCCATTGCTTTGGAGCTCCTGCCTACCAAAATTCAGTGCCAAAAAACACTGTGAGGCATTCAGAGGGAGACATCTGTTCCTGCCTCTGCGTGCGTGTCCCTGCCTGGAGAGCTGGAGCTGAACGGCGTGTGATGGTGGTAATTCAATTCACGGAGGGTTTGTTGGGAAGGAAGGAAATGCTGGAATGAAGGCCGAGGTGGCGCTGGCTGAGAATGTGGAAGTCAGCCTTGCACATGGGGTTAGATGTTGGCTCTGCTGGAGTCAACCCAGTCGCTTCAGAGGCACCAGAACTGGAGCTAAAAATACTGAAAAACCTGACGGGAAGCCAGAGATACAAAGTTCTGTGGGAGACTGGGAATAGCTGGGTAGAGTTAAGCACAGGAAACAGTAGTTAGAGGTGATATCAGAGAACATCCTGGTCTGGAAGAGTCCCACAAGGACCATCAAGTCCAACTGCTGGCCCTGCACAGGACAACCCCAAGGATCCCTCCCTGTGTCTGAGAGCGTTGTCCAAATGCTGTTTGTCACAGGCTTGGCTTTTGGAGACAAAAAGGCACAAAAAGACACAAAAAGACACAAAAAGACGCGTGTGCACCCAGAGTTCAGGAGGAAAACGGAGCAGAAACAGGCAGTGGAAAGGAGGCAGCTCACCTGGTGTCAGTGTGATCATCATTACTGAAAATTAGGCCTGCCTGAAATCACAGAAATATATTCCAGTGGAGGATGGGCAGCAGGTAATAGCAGCAATTAAACTTGAGGAGAGTGTTCCCCCAGAGTAAATTAGAAAGATGTGGGTCAGGAGTACAACTGATTTGCTTGACCTGAGAGATGAGGGCAGAAGTACACAGAAATACAGCTTTGGAAACCTGAGAAGGAAGCAGAGAGTGACTGAAGGTTCCTCCTGAAGCAAACCTGGCAGCTGCTGGGTAAATCTGAGACCTGCTGTGCCCAGCAGAGGAGAAAAGGGGCTCCACTGGCTGCAGCCAGGGCTGGGGCAGTCACTGCACTCTCACGGGGGGAAAAATCTGGTTTTGAAACTCCATCTCTGATTAGGAAGATAGGAACATGTCCTGGTATGAGGCCACTGGTATTGGTATTCAGGCAAATAAATTAATTATCTGGGTTCTCTCTAATCCAATAGTGCAAGGACTAATTTAGTGCAGTGTTGCATTTGCATTCAAAATGAGTCACTGTGAAGCACACAGTGAAGAACTAGCACCTTTCTCCTGAAGTTTCTCCAGTCTTCAGGGTGATTTTTCCTTCTACATCTCAAATTTATTCGGACCCTGATTCCACAGGACCCCATGCGAGTCCCATGACAAGCACCAGGAAGAAATCCCAGCACAGGAAGGATATGGATCTGTTGGAGAGAGTCCAAAAGAGGCACCGAAATGAGAAGAGAGATGGAGCAGCTCTGCTGTGAGGAAAGGCTGAGAGAGTTGGGATTGTTCAGCCTGGAGAAGGCTCGGGAGACCTTGTTGTGGCCTTTCATACCTAGGAGGCTCCAGGAGAGCTGGAGAGGGACCTGGGACAAGGGCCTGGAGTAACAGGACAAGGGGGAATGGCTTCAAACTGCCAGAGGGCAGGTTTGGATTGGGTATTAGGAGGAAATCCTTCCCTGGGAGGGTGGGCAGGCCCTGGCACAGGTTTCCCAGAGAAGCCCGCAGGCCATGGGAGAGGCTCCGGCATCAGAGTGGCTGCATCCCCTCGTTAGGAAAGCCGGGCATGGGGCGCGGGGAGGGCACACAATGCAGCTCCTTGTGTGGGGTTCGAAGAGGAGCGGGGGTTGCTAACGAAACCTGTGCGAGGGGCAGAGTGATTAGGCTGAAACTCATTAGCAAAGTGGATTGCTCTTAATGACTCCATTGATTTTTTTTTTTTGATTTTCCCCCTAACAAAATGAGAAACGGACAGAAATCAGTGCGGCGTGCACAATGATTTAGTGCCGTTCTCTCCCCACCCTCCTTTCTGCGCGGGGCTGTGAAACAAAACCAGGCTGATGAAGAGGGGGGCTCGCCATCCCCAGCGCCGCCTCCTCCGTGAAAGGGGCCACTGTGTCCCCCCGGCTCTTCCAGCCCGGGCAGAAGAAAGGGCTGCTTGGTGCAGCTCGTTCCCCTCTCCGTCCCTCCCTCTCCCGGGGCCGTGGGTGGGAGGGATGCTGGTGCCAAGCTGCGGAAGCATCCCCGGCGCTGCCTCCTCTGCCCCGGCCGCACAACGGGCCATTCAGCCCGCCGGGATGCTGGCTGCCCTGTCACCCACACGGCGGGGAAAAGCCCCTTCTCCTCCCATTTTTCCTCTTGTTGCTCACTGAAAGGACCGTATCAGCCGTGATGCGATTTCTAGAGAGAGCAGGGGGCGTGAGCCCTTCTGGTTTGGGTGCAGGAAGGGAGGCGTTCAGGGTGTTTCTGGGGACATCTACAACGGCTAAAAGTTGGATTTTTTGAAACTGCAGGGGGAGGGAGATGGGATTCCTCAGGAGTTAGCTGAACTTGGAGGCATGTGTTACCATTTTCATCTTTCTTAGCACAGTTCACTCTCAATCATTACAGCTCATTTAATAGCCTGTGCTGTTAAGGGCTATTGAGGGATGGCCCATCCATTCCTGTTTAAGTAGCCACCTGCTCTGTTGCACTGGCTCCTCTGGGTGCAGGAGCCTGCTCCCCTGGGCAGGATTTGACTGGCAGTTGTGGAATCATAGGCTCCTAGAATGGTTCGGGTTGGAAAGGGACCTTAAAGATCATCGCATTCCACACCTTCCACCAGCCCAGGTTGCTCCAAGCCCTGTCCAGCCTGGCCTTGGACACTTCCAGAGATCCAGGGGCAGCCACAGCTCCTCTGGGCAACCTGTGCCAGGGCCTGCCCACCCTCACAGCGAGGAATTTCTTCCTAATACCCAATCCACACCTGTCCTCTGTCAGTTTAAAGCCGTTCCCCCTTGTCCCATGTCCCTCCATGCCCTTGTAAACACCTCTCTCCATCTTTCTTGTAGCCCCTTGAGGTACTGAAAGGCCACAGTAAGGTCACACTGGAGCCTTCTCTTCTCCTGCAGACTCCTTTTCCAGGCACAGTGATGCTGTTTGAGGGAAGTTGTTACCTCCTCTGGTTCCTTTCCTTCCTGGCACATGTCTACTCCTCGAAAAAAAAAACCCCATCATTCCTTCAGTCTGAACTTAGATACCACTGGAGCATGTTGGACAAAGCTTTCATCACCACCAGCTTGGTCTCCTGGTTTGGTCCAGATGGACAGGAGAAAACTGGTGGCTTTGGGCTTCACTGCCAAGTGTTTCAGCGTCCCTTCTTTTTTGAGTCGTAGCTTTTAGTTTAAAAAAATGTATTTTTTTCCCTTTCTTTCTGGGTCAGTGATTGCTGAGTTGGAATTTCGGGCCTATTAGTCTCTTGGGGTTTATTTTAACTTACTGAGAAAACCCTTTTGCTAACAGTGCTGGGCCCTGGGGAGCTGCTGGAGCTGGGTGAGGCCTCTCCAGCAAAGCCAGCTCTGCAGTCCCACCACTGGCACTGGGATTGTAACTGCAGAGGCATTTTGGAGCCTTTGTTCCTGACGTGCACCCCTGCTGTGTGTCCCAAATAAACTGATCTCTGCGTCAAGAAACAGCTCTCTTTTTTTCCTCCCCACTTTTATCTCTCCTCCCTTCCCTTTCCTGACAGGACAGTGACTGGTTTTGATCTGTGGGGCAGCTGGGTACCCCTGTTTTAGCACTGCTGCGTTGGTGTCTTCTGCTTACAGGGTGGTGTTGAGTTTTTATGCTCTGTTGGAGGTTGGACACTCATTTTTCTCCTCTTCTTCTTCTACTTCTTCTTCTTCCATGGCAGTGCTTTGCTCGACTGCTGGGATTGTCCATGCAAGCTCTTGGGTGATGCATCCAGCATATGGGAACAGTGGGAAATAGTAAAGAGGTTAAGATTTGGGGCCCTGCATTTGAGGGACTTGTTTGACACGGGGTATCTCAGGGGGTTTGCGTCAAAAAGCCGGGTCTGCATGGGGAAACAAGGACGGTGGGTCCTGTCAGGTCCTTTCTTCTTGCTGCTTTGAGCAAAACAGGTGGTGAGGGAGGGGGCATTCCTTCTCCAGACCATCCCAGGGGAATACCTAGAGAGATGCTGCTGCCAGTCTTGTGGCTGGGGTGGGATGGAAGGCTTAACATGACTGCTCTGATAAGAAATCCATGTTTTGTGAAGCTTAGCCCGTATCCCCCGCTGTGCGAGCATAATTTCAATACAAATGGTATCTTCTGCTCTTATGTTAAACTCTTGCTGGGGTTATCACAGGGGGTGTCCTTGTTCACAGCAGCTGCCTGGTGTTGCCCATGGGATTATGTGCTTGGTTGCTTTTGCCTCAGAGATTTATCTTTTCCGGACAAATGTGCAGGGCTGTGCCCGCCAAGGCGGATCTTTACATGAAATAGGTTTGTAAATCAGTTTGTTGGGACTCCCCCTGGAATTCAGTGGCGCTTAGGAGGTTGTTAGTGAGGGAAAGGGAAGGGTCTCCTAGCCTGGTTTCGTGGCTGGAGGAGTCGTGCGAGCCCTGAACCAAAAACACCCAACCCTGAAAACCAAAACCCGCCCCACGTTCAGGGAACTGATCTGCATTCCTGGCGAGCTCGTTCCTGTCAAACTGCAGCCATGTACAAACGGTCTGGCTCTTTTTTTGTCCTTGCAGGGTCGTGATTATTGTTCAGAAGAGGAGGATGTCACATAGTGCCAACTCTGCCGCTCGCCCCGGGAGTACTACTGTGTAAATAGATTACAACCCAGTCGAGACCTTCTGGAAGTCTTCTAGAGCGAACAGCACTACATAACAGAAGAAGATAATTTCCACATTATATGCTCCATTCAGTTACAGTGTTTCCTAATGAACAGATGAGGAATATTGCTAAGAACTCGTAAGGAACTGTTTTTGTTGCTGCTAGTTAAAACTCGTTGCAACTTCTCACTTTTTTCCTGTGTCCAGATACGCAGCAAATCCTTAAAAAGTTAATCCAAAAGACGTTGTTGATTTTACTGAGGCCTCTGGCCTGTTTTCTATCAGATGAGGTAGTGTTACACCAAGCTTCCATAAGTGAACATTCAAGCATCTAAGAAACACCCTTAAGCTGCCTGTCAGTCCGCGCCCAGGCCGGAGGGCTCGTTAATGCTGGTGATTCCAAGCTTTGGAGATGGGATGTTTTTGCCATGGCAGGCCTTGTTTTCTCTGCTGAGAAGAAGCTGAGGAAATTATTATCCATTTAAAAGCATGTTATCACTGAAATACTGGAAGTGATGCAGGAGCAGGAATTTGTATTCTAAGAGGAGAAAGAGTTTCATTTAATAGGTATCTTAATCGAGGACTAAGCTTGCAGTATTGGCTTTGCTGAGCACGAATGGGAGTGTGATCACAATCATTTTGAATCTCTTTTTTTCTAAGAAAATAAACATTTTACTGTTTTTATGTATTCTTGTCTTTTACCATTCCTACAACGCGATGTTTTCAGAGTCTGGGGACGAGGAAGACAAACCCAGCCCTCCGCCTCGATGAGTCCCATGGATCTAATCTCTTAAAGCAGCTCTGTGCCAACTGGGGGGGGGATCTGTTGTGTGTCCTGTAGAGTTTATTTTTCCATATTAAATGGAGAGGATATTACCTTCTCAAAAGCAGATGTAATATTTTTAACAAATGCTGTCATGAGTTAAAAAAAAAAGAAAAAAAAATCAAGGAAAAAAAAATACAGCTTTTGTATTTATTGTTTCAAAGGAGATTGTTACCTGTGCTGGTATTTCTTCCTGCTTCAAATACTGTATGAGGGCAAGATTTACACTCTCATCCCATGGAGAAATTTTGTCAGGACATAAGTTTCTGTGCTGTGTTGGTTTTGTTGCTCTGATGTGTGTGATGGGTGTGGAATACAACATGGGACTGCTTTAGCAGCATCTCTTATGATGTGGCTCAAGGGGGCCTTTGAGCCCCAAGTTTATTGCCTGCCATTTTTCTCTGAACCTTCTGGAAAATCAGATTCCTTTAAAGGGTTCTAAGTCCCTCAAAGGTCACCTGTGTCTTCTGAGAATCTCTAGATTTTTTGGGGGGAATTTCTTGGCTAACCAGGTTTCCTCTGGTGTTTGCTCTGAGCGGGGTTGGACAGTCCACGACAGGGGATTTCCTTCCCTTTCCTCCCCTTCCATTCCATTCCATTCCATTCCATTCCATTCCATTCCATTCCATTCCATTCCATTCCATTCCATCCCATTCCATTCCATTCCATTCCATTCCATCCCATCCCATCCCATCCCATCCCATCCTCCTGGTTGGAGCTGCTGGCATCTCTCAGTGCCACGGAGCTGTCTGATCCGTGATGAATTCCTCAAGGTGATTAACTCCATCCTCTTGGATGTGATTTTTTTTCCTCCATAATTTATGCCAGCTCTCCAGCAGGTAGCCACGCTGAGGGGGAGTCAAGGGACCACGCATTTCAATTATTTAAAAGACTTCAATTAATAAAGAGTCCTGGGGCTTGATCCTGCAAACCCTTCTCTCCAAAGTGCTTCATAAAGCTTTTGGAAGTGGTGCAGGAGTGGTGGGGTTGTGTCTGTTCTTCTGAAACATATTTCGTTGTCCAGATGCTGAACATCTCATATATAAATTTCCCCTCACAAACCCTGGGGGGTCTTAGTTTCAATAATTCTTTTATTTCGTGTTTTCCATCCCAGTGATGATGGCACCGAGGGCCTGGGCTGTGGTGGAAGCTTTATGAGGGAGGACAGACAACTCCCACCTTAGCTGTGCTCTTATTCTGAGCAGCAGCAAGTGCTTTAGTCTCCCTGTGAATTACAAACCTCACTGATGGACCTTTAGGTGACAGTATCTGTGCCTGGATGATCCTTGTGGGTCCCTTCCAGCTCAGGATATTCTGTGATTCTGTGAGACACGAACAGAACTGAGGGTTTGGGGAGGGAGAGCAGGTGCTGCCTGTTCATACCAACTCAGCAAATCCTCGGCCATGACGTGTCTTGCTGCCATCACCCTGTACCAGGCAGGTCCCAGGAGCTTCTTGATGGTTTTCAGCCAACTGGAGCTCTTGGTCAGGCAGGACTCTTGCTCTTGAGCAGTTTTGGATATGGAGAAACAGAGATCAAATCCTCCAGGGAGCCCTATGATATTGCTCAAATGAATGTCACTTTTGAACCTGCTTTAATTCTTCCACCTCTGCAAAAATCCTAGCAAATTTTGTTACAGGTCTAAATATATACAGTTGCTGAGGATCCCTAATAATATAAGTAGATTACTGGGGGCTTAAAATGCACCTCTCCTTGCAGCCCTCCCTCCACATTGCTGCAGTCTGCTCCAATCTGTTCAGCAGGGTGGGAAGGAGGAGGGGTGGGAAGGGAAGGAAAATTGCTTATCTCTGATACAGTGTGCTTAGTTCAAATGGGATTTCAAGGTTTCCTTTAAAAGAAGTCTCAAGTGATTTAGGGCCCAAACTTCTCTTCAGGAGGCTGACTCACTGTCTAATGAGCTCCAAGCCAGATCCTGGGATCTCAGAGGAGATTGGGGTGAAGGGGTTTTGCAATCAACCTTCTTCCCTTGCTGTGCTTTTTTTGCCTTGTCCAGAGCCCTTGGAGCAGTGCTGGAGTTGCCCAAGAGGCTGCTGACCATCCCCAGATCCAGCCCTGTGCCGTGTTTTATCTGTGATCTTCATCCTAAAACGATGATGCCTTTATTTTACTGAATTATTGTGAGTTCCCCTTCACCTGTGCCCCCTCCCAAACCCTTCCACCCCCCATTAACATTCGTTTCTTCCTTTGCTTTCAGTCAGAAGTTTGGGGTTTTTTGAATTAAGTCTCGCTGCCAGAAGCCCCAGCTCTGTCTCCTCCCCTGCCACAGACCCTGGGTTGGCTCAGTGCTCCTTCCCATCCCTTTGTGCACAGCAGGAGCAGCAATTTTTTCAGGCAGGCGAAGTCCTCACCCCCAGGAGCTGCCTCATCCCACCGTCCCCGCGTGCATCCTGAGGCTGGAGCTGTGCTCGGTGCTGCCCACGCCTGGAACAGAGAGGAGCCAGGGGTCCCTGTGGCATTCCATGGGGTGTTCTCTTCTTTTTGCAGCGTGCCTTTTTGTTGCTGCAAGAGCATCCAGGTTGATGACAGCATTTTAAAGCCTGAATGATGGGACAAGAGCCAAGGGGCCGGTGAAGCACTGGGAGATGTGTCGGAACTCCGGACCCGTCGCCGTCCTCGTGTGAAAATCAGGCTGAAGACAGATGGTTGTCGGCTGTTTTGGCTTTATCAGGTCCATAAAACAATAATTTCCTGCCACTTCCACTTTGGAATTAGCAGTCACTCAACTCCACATCGGCTTGGCTGACACGTCAGACCTTCAGAACAGGAGAGGCCTCCAGCTGGGTAGGTGTGTGTGCCTACCCAGGAATGAATTCAAGGTGAGCTTTTAACAGGATTTCCAGTTGCTGTTGGCACTGCTGTCCCATCAACAGCCTTGACCAACATTGCTGCTTCACAGGTGACAGTGCATGACACCATGAGGGGTCCACAGGGGTGGGACACTGGCACAGGGTGCCCAGAGAAGCTGTGGCTGCCCCTGGATCCCTGGGAGTGTCCAAGGTCAGGTTGGATGGGGCTTGGAGCAACCTGGGCTGGTGGAAGGACATCAGAAGACCCTGCTCTGGGTCCTGGTACCGCTGGGAAACTCTGCTTTTCCAATGCTGAAATGCTTCTCTATGTAGTGGAATTCTGTAGATGTTTGGGGAAGAGGAGACAAGGAATGCCGGGATGGTTTTGGAGGGGCACATTATTTGCTTTATTGGTTGGGAAGGAAGCCTTCAACATCCAGAAAACTGGGTAAGCAACAAGTGAAAATTCCTATTATTGTTACTGTGCTTTTGGGGCAAAGGGAAAGAAGCCCCAGCTCAGGGGAACTGCAAGATGGGAACATGGGTAGAATTCAAAAACCTTCATGTCTTTGCTATTAAAAAAATAAAAAAAATTTCTTTTAATTTAGCTGCACATCTCTACCCATGACATCCAGGTAAACACTCACTTTGAGCTTGAAGGTGGCAAAGCCATCATCATCATCATCATCCTCCTCATCGTGATCATCTGCTGCTTCTTCATCGCCATAAACACGTGTGGGACTGTGAACCTCCTCCATAAAAGCCAGCTGTAAGAGCAGCCTCATGGACACCTATTCCCTGCACCCACGGCAGCCAAAGGAGAAGCCTGTGATTCCTTCCCTCTCGGAATGGCTCCCTCCCTCCTCACTGCTCTGCCATCCTGGATGGTTTCTGTTTCAATCAGGACACCCGAGCTTTTATTCCAAGCTTTGTTACCATCGGCAGCCTCACCCTGAGGCTCTGTCAGCAGGAGGTGTTGCCCAGGATGGGCGAGTGATGCCGGGCTGGATCGGGGCTGGAGCGATCATCCTCCATCCCTGCAGAACATCCCCCCTCAAACCTCCACGGGGGGCGAGCTGAACAGAAAATTTGCTCCCCCCTCTGCACATACTTAATTTTTTTTCAATACACATATTAAAAAAAAAAAGGCATTTTGAGACAAAAAGTTCTCGGAGAGAGCAAATTGCTGCGAGGAACTCGAAAGCTCCGTGTGGGAACCGAGCGATGTTCCTGGGGGTTTGGCATTCTGCTTTTGTGTCTATTAATAATCCCCCGGAGTGAGTCAGACGGAGCTGCATTTATTCACTGAGTCGGAGAGAGAGAGAGAGAGAGAGAGATGCTACCCGAAATAGCAGCTCTGTAATTTTTTATGATGCTGTGATGCCAGCGCGGCGAAGATTGACATCGTTTGAGGGCGATGCTCGGGGCCTGGCACCATCAGCTCACCCGTGCCAAGCCCGAAATAAACGTGGGAATCCACGTGCCCCGTTACATAAAGCGGCCCTGAGAGCCGGCACGTGGTGGAAATGCCCCCACCTGCACAGCTTTTCCCGGGATTTTTGCCCCCTTTGTGCCTTTTTAAAGACGCCTCTGCTGATTTTTCTTCGCCTATGAGGAGCGCTGGGCTGGAGCAGGGATGGGGAAAGCGGCTTTTGCTGCAGAGGGGAGGATAAAAGCACATCTCTGACGATCAGCTACCTGCCTGCCAGGAGAAGAGGTCTGTAGGGAAAGCCTAAAATGCAGCAAATTCAACAGAGCCAGCTCAGAATTCCTCTCATCCACGCTCCTGCTCCCTGTGTCCCCCTCAAATCTCCGAGCATCCCCCCTGGGCCAAGGCCTGTGCCCAAAACCCAGACACTCCTTCCCATCCCAGTGTCCCTGGCAAAGTGGGGGTGGGCAGGGAGACACTGGGTGAAGGTTTGTGTGGGTTTTTTTTTAAGGATGAAGCTGTTTTCCTGGATGTTTTCTCATTCTCTGCCCTGCACTGCTGCCATCAGGTCTGTCCTGGTGTGGCAGCCAGTGGAGCGCCCGAACCATCCCGAGGTGGTCCCACTGCTCCCCGAAAGCCACTTCTGGGTACCAGGGAGCACCACAGGCTTTTTTTTTTGGCACCATTTCGGCCTGAATTGCTGCTGCAATGCCCTGGTGCCGTGACATCACATCGTGCTCTCCACTCAAGGGTTGATAAAGATGAATTTTGGATGGAGTTTCACAGCTTGGGTGAACGTTCCCCAGGCAAACGTGTTTTATAGGCCCCATTCCAGCTGGAAACATTCATTAACGTTACCTTTTTATGTAGCACTTGGGAAGAAAATGGGGGACTCCTGCCATTCAGCAGCTTTGGGTTGATGGGAAGGGTGGGATGAGCAGCAGCTGAGGCTGAATTTCGGTCAGAGCCGCTGAAGTCCTTCAGGTGACCGGACTGGGAGGTGGAAACGTGGCAGCTGAGTAACAGGCCATCGATACAATTACTGGAATAAATTCATAAATATAGTTTTGATAGGAGGGGTGATGACCTGATGTCACCATGCCTTCCTTACCACCCCAGGGGCATCCACTGAGAGTGTCCCAGGGGAGGATCAGGAATCATAAACGTTGCTCAGCAGTAACCAGGACCTGAATTTAGGGCTCCTGCATCTTAATCCTGATTTTCTTAGTCCCCATTTAATGATGCTAATTAATTTTATTAATCCTAACTCCCACAGAGGAAGAACTCAAAGGAGTAGAGGTGTTGGAGGACAGCTGATAAGAGGAAGGATGATGGAATACACCCTCCTCCAAGACTTACCTGGGATTTTTTTTCAATTCTAGTGAAAACAGGAGCTCAGATGAACTTTTGAGGATGTGTATTCTGGATTTAAAAAGTAAAATAATAATGCCCAAGTCACAGAGATGTTGGAATAGTACAATTAGCTCAGGCTGCCGAGAGGTCTTCCATTCCACTTTGAATTTTGGGTTGAAAAGGTGGGGTTTTATTACGAAGAATCTGATGTGCCCCCCCAAAAAAATCCCAGCAATTCCCAAAGGAGCACCAGTTGAGCACAGCTTGGCCAGAATATTTACATTTTATTAAATCTTTACAATCAGCAGTTATAATCAAGTACACAATTATGTACACGGATTATGTACATTTTAGCCCAGGCTTTTACATCACAGTACATAGTTGCCCTTAGAAATATTGTGTACACTTTTATCACCAGAGAGTAAAACCCAACAACAGTGTTACAGCACCTGTTATTAGACATCTTTCATAAGAAAATATACGGCTGTAAATTGGGCTGGCTTAAAAAGAAGAAAAAAAAAAAAAGAAGAAACCGAAAAATCTTATAAAATCTAAACGTACAATGCTTCATTCACAGAATGGTTTGTTTCCTGTGGTCTGACTGATGCCTGTTGCATAAGATGTCCCATTTTTTCAACCTCTCAACACACACTCACTGGTGCCTGTTCAGGTGCACTGGCAGGAGGAGGAGAACCAAAGCTGGGCTCGTTCCGAAACTTCATTAAGAAAAAAAAAATAAATGTAAACAATTAAGATTCCTTTAAGATCAAATAAGAAATTAATTGGCTGATCTGAATCACATGGCATGGAAAATAAGTGCTAGTTTCAGCTGTGATTCCTGAATTCTTCAGTGTTCAATCCCATACAAATAAATGTACAGTGCTATACACAAGGGCAGTTACTGATTAATGATGTACTAGCAACATTCCTTTGGAAGGGAGCAGGCTTCCAAGATTTTGGGAAGAGTATCTGCTCCCCTCTCCAAAAGGTTGTGTTTTTTTTTTTTAATGAATACATTCTTTTTGCTTTTTAAGATGACAGTAACAGAAAGCTGACTTATTTCCAGGCTGATATGAACAATTTAAACTAAAGCCTGTGTCCTTGTAAGGAAATACAAAGTGAAAAATAACCTGAATAAAACTCTTTCCAAATTTCATCCTCTTTCCCAAAAGGTCAACCTTCCCTGATTCAGTTCTGTAAACAAAGCTATGGCTCTCATGATGGTTTCAACGGGAAAGTAGAAACTGAAACAAGGAAAACACCAACCCACAAGGAAGGAGGCAACAGTTATATCTGAGGTAGGCCACCCCCAAAACGCTGCATCAAATCCACATGGAGCTCTGGGATCACTGGAAATCCCTCAAAAGGTAATGTCTGCTGCTTCAGCAATAGGTGTGGAGAAAGCAGTTAAATAAAAAGGAGCTGGTGATGGCAAGGGAAGTTAATATTTTCATCAAATTTGACATCTACAGCTAAATCAGCAAGTCAAAAAAAAGAAAAGCTTGAGCTGCTGTATTGACCAGAGGCCTCTGAGATATAAAAATAACTATTGTCACCAAAAGAGCTACCAAAAGAATGAAGATGATGCCCATGTCAAAGAGCATGGGAACAGAAATGCTCCTTTGTGGCACTGAGCACTGACAGATCAGAGGAATTATCCGAGGGGAGAACACCTGATGGGTTTGATTGTGGTCAGGTCCCTTCGAGCCCAGGCACTTGCAGGGCTCCAGGGAACCAAGGACACTTACAAGGCTCCCCTGGTCAAATGCTTCACATGAAGAAACTGCTGTAACTAAAAACATAAATAAAAACAAACCCCAGCCGCTTCAAGCCCTGCTCACCAGTCCAAACCTCCAGTTTTTTGTGCAAAAAGGAATTAGAACTACATTTAAAATTTCAAAGGCCACTTATTCACTGCTCCTCCTCAGCTCCCTCCTGCCCTAGAGACGTGAAGTTATGGATGATACCTGGATGGGCTGCCGTGCTCCCAGAAGGTGCCTGTGCATTGGGAGACTCCTTGAAAGCAAGTGTGGCTTGGATACATGGATACAACATTGCCTGGGATTGCTCTGCTCACTGTACAGGAGTATAAATACATACAGTATGGCTGTGCTAATTAACAGTTGCATATTCAGCACATGTAATTTCACCAGCTAAAATCAAAGGTGCAGTTCAGAGTGGGGCTTTCTTTTTTTTTGTTTATTCCATTGTAACCACGAATGTAACCCTTCATTTTTTAGCCTGGTGCAGCATATAGGCAGTGTTCATTTAGTCTTTAATATAAAACAATTCCTTAAACCACAAGTCACTAAAAGCAGTTTATATAAATCAAGTTAATTAGTTTTTGGCAGTTTCTTTGGACACAGTCAAAAAATGTCTCTAGGTTGTTTAAACTTCCCCATTTTTATTTAAATAGTTTTTCACAATGGGGGATAACAAATCAGGACTCACACTTACCTGTAACAAACTCCAGAGCCCAGAGTAACATCCCTGGGCTCTGAACTATCGACCCAACAGCACAAATTGTTGCACTTCCCTACTGGCACTGGCCTCCCTGCCTCAAACATCACACATACAGAAGTTGCATATAAAAAGAACGACAACAAAGTCAAGCTGTTAGAAGTCAAACTGGTAGAAAAAGGAAGGATTTGTTACGGCTGATGTAGCTCTGTGCCCTCTCCATGTCAGCGCCTTAGCTCAGGGCAGACTGGAGTTTTTCAGTCTGGGAGGCCAAAGGAAATACCTGGGACTCAACTTCACCTCAGCCTCGAGCATGACCTTCCCTCATCTCTTCCTGGTGGGCCCCACGGCTGGTGGAACCTGCTCACACAGTGCCTTTGGTCTGGACGGGAGCAGGGGGGAAAACTCCCCACGTCATCGTTCCGGTTCCTGGTGGAACGAGGTGATGAGCAACTCTAGCGGGTCTGATATGTCAGGACAAAACCAAACCGCTCCCAGCTGTGCCTTAAAGACAGGACAACTGGCAACAATTCCCCTGCTGCTGTCACCCCGGGGTTTCAACTGGGAAGGGCTCCAGCAGGACACCGGGGGGGCTCTCGGGGCTGCCATCGATAACCCTCGGTGGTTTCTCACCCCACCCTGCTCGGCTCCTGCTTCCCAGGGCCCCGAGGGAGCGCGTCCTCCCGGAGCCTGGGACGCAGGAATCGGGCTCCTTCCCTGCCTGGGCTCCAGCCCCAGCTGTGGGGCCACCCAGAGGCTTGGATTGCACCGTTGCCATTTGTAACCAGGAGGAATTAAAACAATACAAAGTTTTGCGTGCGGGATCTCCGTGGTGTCCCCCCTGGGGGGACACCTGGCTGCTCATCACAATACTGAATATGTTTGCTTGGATTATCAGGGCCTCACTCCTACCCAAAGAGGTCTCCATTTGTTTATTAACAAATAAGTTACTCTATTACAAGTCATAGCTCATCCTTTTCCATCATTTCAAATGCTTCTATATCTTCGTTCCAGTCTGCTAATATGGATTCCATAGGTGTGACTTTATTATCCCAGTTAACTTTGGAATCTGCCTCCGTCTCAGTCTTTTGTTCCTGAGGCTGGTTATCCCCTGATGTACATGCTGGCTCTGGAGCACCGGCCTCCTCGGTTCCAGGGACGTAGGAATCCTGATGGGAAGTGGGAACACTGGCACTGTCTGCGTTAGCAGGAGATAAAGAACCAGGGTCAGCAACATCTGAGCTCTCTCCTTCCTCGGGCTCCTCGCTGGCTGCACCAACATCCTGAGGTCCTGAAGCAGCTTCCTCTGAGTTCTGTTTATGGGAATCGTTTTCAGTTAATTTCTGGTCCATATTCTCCATTTCCAAGTCTTTGAGAGGGAAGGAAAAGAAAAAAAAGGAAAAACAAAAAAAAAAAGAGTTAAAACAACCGTGTAGGAATGCAGCATTTTATTATGCATTTCAAAAAAGCAAGGTCACTTCCCCTGGCCTTATTAATTCAAGAAAATGCAGACTTTCCAGTGATATGAAAATTTAATGTTACTAAGGAACACATTTTTACAAAGAGAGGGCAGGGAAGACTTTTAAACACATTTTAAATGATGGCAAACAATACAGTGAGGCTTGTTTTGGTTCCTCAAACGTCAGAAGTGACTTGTGGGTCAGTGCTAGTTACCCTCCTTCAGTCTGAACAAATACCCACTGTGTGCACTGAACTTCAGTACTGGATTTTAAAGCACTCCCAGGCCCACCAGGAGCCTACAAGGGAGAGCTGGGCAGTTTTATAAGTTCACTGAACTGTGAATTTAAGAGAGCCTAGGGCTGAGCCTCCCCCATCACACCCCCACTCAAACTGCCAACACACACAGCCCAAATCCCACTTTAGATCTCCAACAGCTGCCCAGTTTAACCATGGAGATTTCTCTGGAGCTGGATCTTTATGGCCAGAATACAGGACACTGATATTTCAGGACCTGCAGGGAATTTAACTGCACATGCCAGTGGATATTTGGGATACTTACTGCTATCAATAATGTAGTTTGGAATCATTTTACCTTTAAAGATTGTTGCTGGGATTCCAAAGGGAAGCACGAGGAGGGAGGGGGGGGGAAGAAGCAGACATGGATTACAAATTCTCAAAGGCACAGCTATCTTGTATTGAGCATTTTGTTAGAGCATTTAAGCACAGTTACAAACAGGAGGGATTTGTAAGGTAGGAAGAAACAACACTAGATTTGGGCACATCACCTTTGCAAGGGAGCACAAGATAAATGCTGTCACTGATTTTCTAGAGATACTTTTCTTCTCTACTCTGCTTGGACACAGCAGTGTTATGAGGAAGGCTTTCAAGGGGAAAATCTGGAATTTTCTGCCCTACTTGAAACATTTCAACTGGGAATGTATTGGCTTGCAATTTTCTTGTATTATACAAGACAAACCCAGGAAACATCTGAGGTCAGCAGCCTCGTTTCTCATGATAACCACTTCTCCTTAGACAGGCAAAATAGAGTTCTAACACTTGTCTCTCTCCTTTTGGGCAGCAGGAATGTCACTGGGGAGTTTGGTAAGGGAGGGGCATTGTCAATGTAGGGCACTGGAAACACTTAAGACTGTTTCCTGACGCTACTTCAAAGCACATGACGACACAAAGGGCTCAGAAGGAATCCAAAATGCTGTATTTTTCTCATTAGTCAAAGTGACATTTAAGTGAGGAACAGCATTTCTGGATGTTAACTTGCAGGGGGAGAGGACAAGGATCCACGTCAATAATGGCTTTCCTAATTAAAAACTCATTCCAATGTCAAACAAAACTATGGCACCCTTGGGCAGAAGCACAAAATATTGCACATTTTGCACTGTGCCACAGCACAGATGGAAGTAACATTTACAGAACTCCCCTCCAACCTTACCTCTGTCTTTTGCTTTATCAGACAGGAGCACCTCCACAGCCTCGTACTCCCGGATTGCATCCAGGATAATGTTTCCTTCCTTGTTGAAGAGGAAGAGCATGGGAATTGTGATATCATCTGTGTTCTTTCCATCCCCGGCCATTTGGAAAAGAGGAGCTGTGTCACTGCTGCTGCCCTCGTTGTCATCTAGGCAGGGCACACAAAGGGAAAGGCAAACTTGCTGTTAGCTCAAACTGCAGCTCTGAGCTTTGGCACACTGGGAGCTTTCCCTGCCCAGAGGGTCCCAGGCACAGCATTCACTGTGCAAGGCAAAACCCCAACTCGTGCACTTGTTTTCCTTCCCAGTTTTCCTTTGTACCCCCGTTTTTCCTCAGCACTTTGTCATCCTTAAAATAGCAACTTTTGATCTGCAGAGGCAGAGACAACCCCCCCATCCCAGTTTGTTTTGCTGCACTTCCTGCACAGAGCCAAACCCCAAACATCTCTTCATCTTCTGAAAGCACAGCTCCTGTGCTGGAGTACTGGCATCTCGGCCTTAACTAAGCTTGTCAGCTTTCCTGCATCTTCAAATCTGTACAATTAGGTTCAGCTCACACAAATGAAGAACTCAGAATTTTATTTACCAATAACAATGCCTCCTATGGCTCCAGCTTTCTGAATGTTTCGTGCTTTTTCAGCAAACATACATTGGCCTCTCTGCATCAGAGCAATTTTGTCTTTCACTGCCTCAGGATTAGTGATCTCAGAGCATCCATTATATGGCTTAATGGTTGCAACAAATCCTCTTGTCTGTTTGGAAAAAAATAAAGAGAGAATTAGAGCAGCAGGTTCAAGCTTGTAGAAGATTCCAAAGTATTTCTGTTTCTTCACTTAATCTAAAGCATTTAGTGTTGTCATCTGTCAGTGCAGGCAACCTGTACCCTGAACCTGGAGTTCTGAGATCCAAAGGATGAATGCCTGGCTGAAAACCTAATTCTCATATTCAGGGTATTTTGTCTACACCTGTGAATTGTTGTCTCTGGAAGTTTTTCTTCTGTGCACTGCTAGTCTGGAAAACTCCTCTTTGGGGCTCCAAATTGCCCCACCAAAGCCATGGAGGTTTATTACTGCTTCCAAAAGGGATCACTGCCTCTGTGGTGTTTTCTTTTTTTGCACAAGAACAGCTTAGTTTAGCTCTAAAAGGGCTTCTGCAACTCGTGGCTGACATGGGAGGAAAACCTTCCCTTAAATCAACATCTCTTTAGCCATGTCATGCTGCAGGTGGGATGAATTTGTTTCAGAAATCCTCCTGTGTACGTATTTTAAATCCTAAACCATGACTGATGACTCAGGGGCAGAGCACAGGGATAAGCCACTCATCTAAATGACTGTCACTGCTGTCATTCTGTCACTGCTGGGCCCTGTCATTTTAACAACTGTAATTAATTGATCACCCTCCACCTGGCTGCCTTGAAATACTTCCAGGACAGGGAAAATAAGGCTTTAGCAAGGAGGAAAAGAAGAGAAAGCAAAGGACAGATCTCACACACATCTTACACACCCCGGCTTTGTGTTTGGATAAGTCCATCCCAAACTGTGCTGGGCCAGCAGTCAAGACCACCCTGCCAAAGAAGGGATGGGAAACGATCTGCACAGCACGAGGAGGGAGCTGCTGCTCCTTCTGCTGCTGACTGGAGAGTTCAATCATCTCCTGCATGAACCGTAAGCCGTCCTCGGCATCCAGGGAACTCGCTGCCTGCAGAGGAAAGAACCAACCATCAGTTTTAGCTGAAATGTTTGAGAAACTTGGGGAGGGGGAAGAAATGGAAGTTATTTTTGCTACAAAGATTTTTGAAACGCAGAGCGGATGCTCGCTGCTGCTCACTCATCGTTTCAAATCAGGTTTTTTAGCACCTGAACCACCCAGAAGGCTGAAAATACACAAATACACAGAACTCCAGAGGAAATGGAAGCATCTCACGCTGAAAGCAGTGTTTTCAGACAGGATGTTGTGAGCTGCATCACGTTCAACATGAACAGCCTCCATCTAATTTAATGCAAGTTTAGTTAAAAGTCTTGCTGAGGTAAAATATTAACAAGCATCAGCCTGCTAAATATAGCAGCATATCCAGCTCATGTGCCTCCTTTCCAGAGTCTGGCTGTCCCTCCTCAAGCTCCAAGTGTCAAATATCATTGCTAGCAGGATTTTGATGAAATTTCTAAAAAAAAAAAAAAAAAAATATACTGTGTCAGGCCTTACTTGCACTGCATGCTGCACTAATTGCACTCGTCCATCCTTCAGATGGATCAAACTGACTCCCATCTTCTTCAGTATTTCCAAGTGCTCAGGATTACTGGCCATGAAATCTCTGGCTCTCAACGGTGGTTTTGGTCCACTTCCCAAACTCTCTTCTCTGCCAAAAGATATCAGAGATCAAAGCTTTAAAAAACGGGCTATTCTTGAAACAGAACTCTCACGTTATCCCCACCAGCACAAGGTCAGAATTCTTTGCAGTAACACTGAGTACAAGCTTCATAGAATGCAACTTCTCAATCAAGATATCTTTTTGAAAAAAGCTGTCAATATTATCAACAATTTTATAGTGCAAAACACCCCTTCAGTATTGATAACAATACTGCCATACGCTCTCTCTCATTTCTAAGTAGTCTGCATTACTGTAAGACTGACTAAATCCAGTTTTCCTCATGCAGTTGCTACTCAAGTTTTACTCATGAAGTATAAAAATAAAAGAGCTGGTCAGAAAGACAAACTTCCTGGGCTTTAACACTGCCCTAAATCCCTCAGAACAGGTGTAGTTATGTATGGCAGCATGATTTGCTCACTACAAAGAAGGGTTGCAGAACTGTTCACGAGACTACAGAAATGAATTTTAGAAAATCACAGAGATGCACTTCCTGCAATGCTCCAAGTGGGAATTGCAGCCCAGGTATGTGGCTCATTAAGCTCCTTTTGCTCAGAAAAGACTTGCTAATTCCTGCTGGAAATTAACTTAAGTCTTGCTGATGGTGCCAGAGAAACCACGACTGATTTTTCCTCTAACTGGGAATCCCTTCCCAAAGGACCTGCAAGCTCGAGGAGTACATCCAGTACCCCTCATATTTCTCCTTCCATGCCTAACAGATCCTACTCCACTCAGTCCTATGCTCAAACAAAAGACAGAAAATGTTCCTCTCACGCTCTGGAAATGCCCCTGGGACAGCTCTTATCCACCACATTTTTCAGAGGTTCCCGGATGCTCTGGGCAAACATGGGGTCATTGGGGAAAAGGATCTGGGTGTTGGGACAGGTCCAGTCGAAGTTGCTGTCGTCCAGCTCTGTGTACTCCGTGGTCTAAAACAGAAGACACACATTAATAAAATGCAGGTTAGATTTTCCTATCGAGCAAATCAACAGCTAAACCTCATTAGACCGATATCTGTGCTCAGGACACGCAGCAGCTGAGTGCAAGAGAGGGGAATCGGTGCCCTAGGACCCCTTTCTAGGGATTGATAAATACAACACCAATTCTAATTTGTAATTTCATAAATTTAGACACAGTTTCCAGGGTTTTTTTGGGGTTTTTTTTTGCAGAGACAGTTAAACCTCTGCTGGCAGGGCAGGCAATACTTCTCAAGCCTGCTCATGACCCTGCACTAGGGAGTAGTTACGGTTTCATTTGGTACTGCCTTTCCACCCAGTGACCAGCTGCAAGGCCTTGGGGCACTCTTGCTTCGTGTTACCAAAAATCTCACATCTTTTCCTAGGAACAAAAGGTTCTCCTCCTCAGGAGCCACACAGACTCGCAAGACTGAATCTATTTGTAAGTCAAACAATTTCTATTTTCGGGAAGGCTGACAGAGTTAACATTTGCACTAAACTGCTGGTTTGTGACACGTGGAACCACGTGGAATGTGGCTGGTGGTTTGGAGCCATATTTAGCCTGGTCTTAGCTTTGCAACTAACTGGTTAGGTAACCAGCAAGTTCATTTTCTCACTCATAAAAATTATTGTAGTATTTATCTACTTGGAAAAAAAAAAAACAAACCACCCCTCCTGTTTGCAACTACTAGCTAATTAAAAATCAACTATTTAAAGGCTCCCTAAAACTCAAGACCTAAAGGGCTACTAGTTCACAGGAATACTAAGACATGACCTTTCCTGTTTATGAGAACAAATACAAACAGGATGTTGGGCTCATACTACAAACTACCTCCTCACATGCAGTTTGTCTTCACAGCAGTGTGTTCGTGTTAAAAATAATTTACACATTCCATTCATTCAGATAAAATTCCATAGAAGAGTAACACACCCAACATCACAGCCTTTTACCCATTTGACACCGTTTTCAATGGATTTTTTGACCTGTATTATGCCCATGAACATTAAAAAGCAACCCCCATGACCCATTAAATACATTAAACATATTACCAGTGTTAGACATTAACATCAAATAATTAAACATCTGTTCACTGTCTAATGCTAGAGTGAATAAAATAGGGTGATTTCTCCTCAGTTATAAGATTTCTCCAGGACACAACACAAGCCTTTTCCTCTGAGCCAGGCATTACTGTAAAACTCTTAGTAAAGGTTAAAAATAGAGGCACAAAAAAGGGAATTTATGTCCTTGATGTCTCAGACACTCCACTTCCTCATGCATTTCTTCTGCTTGCCAGTAGTACTATTGCCTTAAAGATAAATTGTGTCACCTTATTGACCACAAAACTATAAAAGATGAGTATTTGTGATGCTTCGTGGCACAGTTGTATTGCTACAGGTTATTTTGGAAGGTTAAATAATTTATAAACCCATCAGCAGTCTCACATATACACAATAAATGCCTAATTATGTGGATTAAAACAATTAAATATACCAAAAATTATAGCTGTATCTTGTCAAAAAACTTCTCAAAATTTGCCCAGGGTTCATGAAGTAAAACAGACAACAAAAACTTGAACATGTTATTGTAAATATTTGCTTTAGGAAAAACAGTAGAAAACGGAGATAAAAACATCCTAGTGCGTTATTTTCAAATTGAGAGAGGTAGGGAATTATTCTCTTGTTAAATCTTGCTAGTATCCCAATTTCTCAAGGTTCAGCAGTGCAGAATCCAGTCATGGAAACATTACTCACTCCTGTGATTGGCACTGTTAATATGATGAAATACTGCATATATGTTCAAACTGGTGCTCTGCCTCAAATTATGATTATTCCCTGATTTTTCTTCCATTTCCCCTCAAAAAAAAAAAAAAAAAAAAAAGGGAACTGATTCAATGCACCACAACCTGATTTAGATTTGAGGTGTTACATACTGTGTTTTTTTTGGAGGTGGTTTGGTTTGTAGTGGAAAGCCAAAGTGGCAATAGATGAGCTTCTGTAGTGAAGATGTAATCTTCAATGTCGAAAATCATGTCCTCCTTATCAGCAAACAGCAGGTACAGGTATTTAAACATCTCAGCCAGAAAGAACGAGTCCATTCTATGGGAAAAGAAAAAAAAAAGTGGATGTCCTTTAGGGAAACCTCCTTTGTTCTAAAACATCAGTAAAATAAATACTCCTATTGCTCCAACTCTGAAGACTTCATGACTGTTATTGCTGAGTGTAATTCCATTAGAATTCCTTCCACTTGGAAGAAACTCTGTTTGGAGAGCAATGATTCAGCATGTTCAGTTCAAAACAGAATTACAGAAAAACCAGATAAACTTCCTTACAAAATTACAGATTTGAGGTATATTTTGTTTGAAGGTAATTCATCTATTGCTCTGAGACAAATGAAACATTGTTAAACTAAAAATCTTATGGAACAAACTATAAAGCTATTGAAACAGTTTACAGACTCTGACAAATGGGTAATTTGAGGCTTGGCTATCAAACTGAAGACAGACAGCTACTCAAAATTCAATTAATTCAATTACATAAACAAGGTAATTTAATTTTTTGGTGAAAACTTTTACCTGTCTTCGTGACTTCCCGTTCGGACATCCTTCATTGCAGCAAACCCACAAGGAACTCTTGCATACTTGTTCAAGTTTTCAATGAGGGTTTTTCCTACTTCTAGATAGTAAGGGTCTCCAGTAGCCTGTAAGAGAAAAACGAATGAAAAAGCAAAACTAAGCACAGGGGAGGTACACCTACTGTACAATCAGCACTTTCTTCTCGGTGAAGTACAAAAGGCTTTTGCTCTTGGTCTCTAAAGATTTCTTTAAGAGATCAGCCTATTTTAAAATATCTTTTCAAAATGGTTCTTTGTCACTTTCTAATGCTAGAGATATAAAACACAACTCCTAGAACAGCTGTGGATAATCAGCACTTACATCCTGGTTATCTACACAACTGGCTCCAGGAGGTAAAATAAGATGGAGATGTGCTACTCAGTTGTGGATTGAAATAAAAGAGCAACAAGATTCGAGGTGCTAGAAAAAGTGACCAGAAGTCTGAAGATTGAGTGTGATTGTACCTTATACAAGAAGTAAGTGCTTTCAGCAAATTCAGGCCTTAGAGGGTGCTGTGCCCAGTGAACTCTGAAGTCTGTTGTGAATGCCTGAGGATGAAAAAGGACAGACAGAAATTAAGGCAAGAATGAAAAAACCAAACACGGGTTTATTCTGAATTTAATGGTAAACGGTACAACCACCACACCATTTTTGCATTGGGAAAAGCCATTTCTGGCCTATATTTGCTACTTCATACAAAGGTTTAAACTATGTCTTTCCTAAAAGGGATGGTCTGCTGGCTTAAATACAACTAAGTGACCTTTCAAAGTTTTCTTCAACATCAAAAAACAACCCCCCCCAAAAAAAAGAATCATTCCAGCACTTAGGGAGCATTCTTTGGTCTCAGTAACCACATTAGGTGAATGGGATGTTTAATTAAAATGTTCTCTAGCAGAAAAAAGCTTACACCAGAGAAAAGTCAAAATTAAACCTGGAGTCAGAAGCCTTCTCATATATTCTGGGTCATCACAGCTTAAAGAAACACACACTTCAGCAGGTAAACAAGCTTTTCTGGGCAGAATTCACTCGCTCAAAGACTTGCAGCACCTGCAGTGAGTCTGTGTACTGACTTCCAAGGACATGATGCAGAATTTCTGAACATGCCCTCAGTCTTTAGGTTTGGTTTAACCCTCCTTGGGTTAATTAAGAGGACTGTGATCTTTAGCATTAACACTATTATGTCACTAAGCAGCTACTACTGAAATGTGATTATGCAAGTTCTGCATAATGAAATGAGTCAAGGTCGATTTTGAAAGACTGAAATATGAAGTCTAAGCAATTGTTAATGGCAGCAGCTTCCCATTATTGTGTTAATTACAGCAGGACTGAAGGAAAAGTATTTCATACCCAGAACACAGCTGTCATACATGCATAACTGCAAATCACAGAAGAATGCTGTGGAAATCAGCCTTTTCATTTTAATAACACATTTACCTACTGGTTTTTTCAAAGGTGTATCTGAGACTGCTCAAATTGAGGTAAAAAATCGAGTCTACACAATCAAAAAAACCACCACCTTACCTCTGGAAGGAAGTTATGCTTTTTTATAACCTGATACAGCATCTCATGAGTTTCAATTGCAGGTCTAATGTCGCCCTTCAACACCTAAAATGAAATAATAAAGTTAACACGAATTCACCAAGCATAGCAATAATACTCAAAGTTAGGCACACTCATTGTGTTCATGTCAAAGCTACAGACCAATCACTTCATCCTGTAATTATTACTCCCTTTCATTGTGTAAGCCACAAATATTCCAAATCAGTGAACTCATTAAGATTATTGTCTTTGTAGAACAAAGATCTCTGTCATTTACACAGAGCTGGGGTGGAAATGTGATTTAGTTTGTTGTGAAGATATAAACGACATACAAACTAGAAAATTTGTCACTAGACTACTAAAAAGGCAGATTAATTTGAGTGTTTTCATGACTAGGAGAAGGAAGCAAATTATATGGACATCCTTCTCTTGATAGTCAACATGGCCAGAAAAGCATCAGAGCAATGAAGTGACAAGGAGTGAGTACAGAAATCATGGAATCCCAGACTGGATTGGGTTGGAAGGGACCTTAAAGCTCATCCAGTCCCAGCCCCTGCCACGGGCAGGGACACCTTCCACCAGCCCAGGTTGCTCCAAGCCCCGTCCAACCTGGCCTTGGACACTTCCAGGGATCCTCACCCAGTATTTCTGAAAATCAAATTACTAAGCTTGACCTGAATGTTATATATCCAGTCCAGTTAATAATTCACTTGTTATTAAAACCATCTGCTCCTGGGTTTTAAACCTTACCTGCAACCCAGGGAAGAAAGCCAGCAGAGAATCCATCCAGGTCCGAGCATTTAGCATTGGTTTGTGAATATGAACATCAAGAAGAAGAGGTGGTTGGCTGATGTATCTCATTATGGCATCGTAGTGCTGCCAAACAGCAGAAAAAACATCAGTTTGTGTTATCAATACCATTCCAAAAACAGATAGAGCTCACCAGACTGGCATTTTATTTCAGTGGAAGAACATTCCCAATCATTACTACATTTGGCAAGGCCAGCAGGTTCTAGTTTTGCAAACTAAAAAGAAGTAAATACTGAAAAATCTCCACATGCAAAACTGGTCACATTTTCCAAGTCACACACATGCACAAAAGTATATTCAGCAGCCATGTGATAAACAAAGAACTATCACAGCTAAGACACATTTGTTTGGGCTGAAGTTTTAAGCACACACTGAAGAAAGCTGAAAATGCTTTCATTTTAATGGAAAATCATGCTGTATGATATAAAATCATGCTACCATCTAAAATGTTTTTAAGGGATGTTGTTATTTTCAAAAGAAATAATACTCTTAGGAAAGAATAAAGATGCTGACAGCTGCACAGAAATCATATGAATTTAGTAATCCAAGTGTGTCCTGGGTCTGAGGATCTGCAGTGCAAAGCAAGATCCAGACTTTGATTTTCAGATCTTTTTTGCTGCTCCAGGACAGAAGTTGTACCCTGGCTTGTAACAAGAGGCCCTTACACTGTTTTACAGAAACATTTCCAGCATTACACTGTCCAAGGTGATCCTGAAATACAGTTTCTCCTGTACTGGAATCATGGAGAAAAGCATAGAAGATTCTGGGGTTAAAATACTGCTCAGGTGACAGTTAGTCACCCAAGATTAGCAAAACCCCCCAGTAAAAAGAGCTGGCACTAAACACAGCAGAAGTCACAGAAATTCTGCTAAAGATCTCTTCACAGGCTGCTCAGGCCAACAGCTGACAACACAATTCATCTCAAATGTGTCTCACAGAAGGCAGAAGCCTGAGCAAGGTGTTAACTTACCGTGTTAAACCTCTCCAGGAAACTGTCATCTCCCAGCAAGACATAGGCTTTTAATAAATATTCATAATATGAATCTATTCCTGCTCCAACGCCACTATCTGGAAACAGGAGGAAATGAAAAGGTTGGGTTTACTTGAAGTAGACTCATGGGTGTTTTCCATATTTTTCCACTCTGATTTCAAAGGCTTTTCCAGTAAAAAGGAAAAGCCTCCTATCACTACAATTAAGGTCCAGACGGATGCAGAGACACAACACTGTGTGTGTCTAAGCCAAAGGCTTTGCAATGCCAGTGCACATAATAACAGGGAGAGACATGCACTGAAGCCAGTTGTTTCACTTTCCTCAGAGGAAATCACTTCCACAGTCCTGTTTATATTTTTCCCATGTATTTACAGCGAAATCTCTGAAAGTTTATCCCAAGGCATTCCCCTCTCAGTATTAAAGCGAATCAGAGAGCACTTTGCAATGAACAAAACTGGTTTCTCTACCAAAACACCCTTTCAGAGCAAAGCCAGGCCCTTGGAGTAGCAGGTTTAACTGATGTAATACTTTTATATAACCTAGATAAGGGTGTGGGGGCTGTGTCAGGAGTTTCTTCCCTGGCTCCAAATCCCCTGTGGTCCCTGATCCCGAGCCAGGACACCACTCACCTTTTCGGACCCAGTCTCCAGTGTGGATGTTGATAGTGACACCCACTAAGTTGCTGCTGCGCTGCCTCTTCTCCCAGATAAAATCCAGAGCTTTCCTGGCATATTCCTGCAACAAAAGACAGGGAAAAATGGAAAAAAAAAAAAAAGAAAAAAAAAAGAGAGAAACATAGATAATAAAGACTGTTATTCTTTTGTCTCCTGAAATTCAGATGCGGGGAAGGATTGTTTTGTATCCAGCAATTATAAACTTCAGTACTACACACACTTTATTAGTACAATATTCAGCCCACATTTTATGGAGTTATTCAAGGGTTGATCAGCAAGGCTGGTGCTTGGCTCCACAAATGTTTGCCAATACACGAATCAAACACCCTTCTGCACGGGTTCCCCACTCTAAAATAATGATGGGATAGAGCAACCTAATTAATAAATATTTCAAGAAATGTAATAGCCTTAGAATCAAAGTCTCTCTGTTCTTTCAGGCATCTCAAGGTGGAGTAGCAACCCCTGTTCACTAACATCCTGTTCTTTATATGCCCCATATTAACTTGAATTTAACATCTACTCAACTTAGGTGACTTCAAACAGCAAACACAAGCATGGGATTTTCAGGGGCCCAGTTTTGCTTCCACGACAGGAAATAAAATATCAGGCACATCATGAAACTGGAAAAAAGCTTGCCTTTTTTTTTTTTTTTTTTTTAATCAGATGGAGGTTTTATCAGATACACACTACAAGTATTTTCATTTACCTTGCTGATAAGGTGTATTTCTGATAATACACCCTTAGGCAGGTCCTGCACATGTTCAGTGACACCACACAACTGTGGGGTTTATTTATTTTAGTTTTAAGTGCATTTTAAGGATCAAGCATCTCACTTTTTTTACTAGTCCTGATCTCTTTACCCCAAAAACTATGCAAGCATTACCCTTAAGCTATTCTTCAGTATATTTATCTCATTTAGTGCTGCATTACTGTAAGTACTTTTAGCCAAAATTATTTCCTGTGATTTAAAAAAAAAATTAAAACAATCAAACCTTAGACCAAAGCCCACAAACACAAGAAATCTGAATAGATACAATTTTTTTGTGCAGAACAGCTAAGACACAGATCCATGAACTCAAAATTACAGAAATATAATAGAACACTAATGAACACCTAATCAAAAAATAAGATATCACGGAAAGCAAACCTCAAATATAGATGTTCCTGTGAATCTGCTTAAAGCTGCAAACTCAAGGATCAAGGTACCAGCACAAGCTGTACAGGTATCAGTTTCTGTTCCTGTTCGTGCTTCTGGATGTCTTACCCCAAATTTTAAGTTAACCTAGAGAAAAGTAGAGGTTATCATCTTTATTTTTACTCTTGTAACTCTTAAGAATTTTCACTCTTCTTCTAAAGACAAGAAAAAAACCCAAAACAACCACACAGCCCTCTTCAGTTTTGCTTTGCTTTTACCACCTACTGTCAACTCAAATGCACAGAATATTATCCAGAAGTACCCAAAACACTCAACCCTCCCAAACAAGGACCTGATTCAAGGAAACATTTGAACAACACAGTGCACCCTGAAAACCTAATTCTAGCAATTAATATTTACCAGCAAATCAGGAACTCAGAATGCCACAAGTGCTCTTGGGAATCAAGCTTTGTAAACATCTCACTGTTCTGGCTCCAGAGTACACCTGTAATTTCTCAGCTTTTGATTTTCTGTCCATATAACCAATACAAAACCAGTTTTGGAAACAGAGATAAAACCAGAAGAGCAGAAGAAATGCTGCATGGCAGAAAGCAGAGAACTTACCCTTGGGTAAGGGAGACCACTAGTGGTGTTGAAGGCAGGTAAAAGCTTGTAGCCCAGCTCCTTTGCCATGTGCAGGAGTTCACCGTTGTACCACTGCATGTATTCACCTTTTTCTTTCAGCATAATTGCCACTGAATGCCCACCTAGGAGACCTCTGAACATAAAGAAAAATCATGCCCACCTCAAAAGGGATGTTCATCTGAAGGGCAGGACAAAGATCTCTGCCATTTGGATGACTCTATGCATAACTGTGCTATATTCACACAGCCCTAGTTTTCAGATGGCTGATGCAATTCCCTTTCTAATCAAGGTTAGTTGCTGGTATTTTGGAAGCCATTCTTCCTGTTTATCAGTCCTGAACTGTAGAGGAATTACTGACTCAGCAATATTTGCCAGCAATAACAACCGACAGCTCCAAAACTGCACATAATGACTGAAGTTACATGCTGTGATCCCGCACTGAGCACCAGAGGTCCCCTCCACCCTGAAATAATCTACCACCCCAAGTACTGAAATCTGTTAAACCAAGTCATTTGTAAGCCTGTTTCCAGTAAGAAAAAACACTGTTACCTCAGCAAGCACAATTTTTTTGAAATGAGAAAAGCTGAAGCTGCAGGGTCAGTTTGATCCAGTGCCACTGCAGCGAGTCCTGCCTCGCATTTTAAACCCTCTCAGGCAAACTGAGAAAGGCACAACTCCTTAAAATGATGTGGAACAGCACAGGAATGTATGTCTGAAGGACATTTACATAAAGCCCACCTTTCAAAGAGTTTTGAAAATGAATGCTACTCACCCAAGGACCCTGATGTTGGTTTCAAAGACAGACACAACTATGTCGTTATCTAAATTAACATCCTTTATGACTTTTTTTACAGCCTCTTCAAACTCCTTGGTTTTATTTAACACCTGGAATACAAGTGGAAGCAGGTGTTAAGTTCCAACATAACTAATACAGTCACAGCCTATTAATGTACAGTACATTTAAGTGCACAATAAAGTCATCCATGAAATATGCATATAAAATTTAAACCCATAAATTAATCCAGTGGTATTAAGGGGTGTCCCACAATAACTCTGCATGTTGCTCTGAAATGGGAAGGAGACTTACAACATACTTTTTTGTTAAGTTAAAGCCCCAAAAAAGCAAGATAAGAAAGTATCAATGACATTTGAAGGAACTGTTGTAGTTTTTTCACCAACTCCAAACCAACTCCAAACACGGCTCTCACAGCACCTGAAAGTTCTTACAAGCAACAGTCACTTCAAACAGAGAGCCAGAGATCAATGATCAAGAAAAAGAAATCTAAAAATCAGTCTGAGCATCACAAGACAACCTTTTTGTTTTATCAAAAAGTTTATCAACTTAACCACTTAGATTAAACTCACCACAAGAGTGTCCAAGGTGTCAATCAAGGTCAGCGAAAACCTAGGAAAGGAAATTTAAAACAGATTTACTACAGACTTGTATGTGTTGAAATTAATTTTTAATAATAACTGATACCAAGGAAGAAACTAAATTCTCACAGACCACTGGGTGCTAAAAAATTAGTTACACACAATAAGTTTAATCAAAAGACCATTTTAAGTTTCTTCTGTTGATTAGTGACCAGAGTAGGAGCTCACTGAAAGCTGTGATTAGAGAGACCTTCATTTACTGCAAAGCTTTTTAACTTCTTGTAAGCAAATTTCATTTTTATTAATAGTTTCAAATCAAATCTAGTAAGAAACCCAGGAAAATGGTTTGAAGTCTTCCTCCAACCTCTGTTTTACTTAGTTTTTCAAAAAAAGGAAGAACATCGAGAATCAAACTAAAAGACTGTTGAGATCCAAGCTAAATTTCTCCTACCAGAAACTATTCCAACAGTAGCAAGTGGTAGGCTTAAAATAAAGAACTACTTTATTGTCTTTAAATAAAGAACTACTTTAGCAGTGCCCAAGGCCAGGCTGGACAGGGCTTGGAGCAACCTGGGCTAGTGGAAGGTGTCCCTGCCCATGGCAGGGGGTGGAATGTGATGAACTTTTAAGGTCTCTTCCAACCCAAACCATTTAGGATTCCATGGTTATTCCATAAAAAGAGAACATCAAGTCAGATCCACGTGGTTTCAAACAGGGACATCACAATAGGATTCTTAGTGCATCCCAAGCTGAGTGGGCCTTTCCCCTACCCCAGAAATTATATGTATAAGTGTATCTTGCATACATCTCCTTCCAACAATTGCTCTATGTTCATGTTAAAGAACACACCACACATTACACAGAATTTACAGAGCTCGATGGTGTCAAAACTGAAAACTCTGGAACCAGTTAAAGCTGCCAGTTAAAGAGTGAGCACCAAGAATTTAAGCAGGTATCCCGTGTTTGAGACCCTGCAGGCAAACACATGACTACTGAAATCCTAATTAAGTGCTGCTATATTACAACTCTCTTTAATTTGCAAAAACATGAGGGTGAGTGTTGTTCTACAAGAGGCAGTGATTGATTAACAAGTGGTCAAACACAACTGTCTGACAGCTTTTTGTATGGAAAAGGAGGGAAATTGTGCATTTCACAGCTGTAAAGCTGGTGTGCCAGTCCCCTCCTGAGCTCTCCAGGGGGACAGAGCTGACCCAGCTGCCTCACCCTGGCACTTGTGACTGCAAAGGCTTGCAGAGAACGTGACTCATGGGGCAGCTGGCAAGAGAAAGGGTTAGATAAGAAAGCCGGTAAATCATAACAGAAATAATTATAAGGCACAGAATAAAGCATGTATACAGGAAAATAATAAATAAGTAGACTACTCGCTGCATCTAAGGGCCTGAAAGGGAATTTTACTCAAATGATAGCATGTTATGATGTAAAAAATGGTCATCGGGACTAAAAATATATTTTCTTGACAATTCTTTTTCATCTCTCAATACCTTCAAGCAGCAGGTTTATACAGAAATTTCTAGACTAAGGAACTTTTGTACATAACAAAAATAACCAAAATAACATGCTTAATATTACTGAGACAATTAAAAGTAGTATTTAAGACAAGGACTTCAGCTCTGATATAAATTTGTAATTAAGTATTTCCTCTACAAACTGCACACACACAAAGGAATCAATTAAAACACATTGAGACTAAGTCAACTCTTTGTTTGTTCCATTTAACATGGAGGAAAAGTCCTTAAATTTACATTTTTCTGGTCAAAGGGTCAGTACTTTCTATTCTAAGCCACCTAAGAACATGAAGTATATTCATGTCTGAAATAATGTATTATGCTTTGGCAGAAGCCTCAGGGTACCACACACATGATAATCATTTGACTATTTGTTTTCAGAGAACTTTCTACTCAAAAAAAAGGCATTTTAAATACCACTCATAAGGCCAGCATCACGGATAGCAGCTTATTGTTCAGCTGATCATTAACCTGTCTGACCTCTAATATTAATACCATTGACGTCAGCTCACATTTGGAAGGCTTTCCTGCAGAAAATACTTGGAAAATGGTTAAAAAAAAAATTATTATAGAATCTGCTGAGTTGGAAGGGGCCCCATTAGGATCATCAAGTCCAACTCCTGTCCCGGACATCCCAAGAAATTCTCTCTGGATCTCATTTACTGGTCAATTCTCACGTCACATTATTTAACTTCACGGGAGGAAATAATCCAAGTATTTCTTACGAGTGCAAGTTTCTGGACATGCCAACCGAACAAACAAGTTTTATGGGCTGCAAGTTGTACTTAGATTAGATGTTTACAGGAGCCAGTAACCATTTCAAACACTAACTTTCCCAAGGCATCATCCACGTCCCCTCGACTCGGCTCCTGACCCCGGACTCGACCACGACACGTTAAAGGCATGAGTTCATCAGCGGGATACGCGTGTTCCTGTGGGGAACAAAACCAGGGAAGGAGTTACACTGGTCACAGCCTTAACCCTTCTGTTAAGGGATCTTAAGTACGTTGTACTTCACAAAAGCTGCGTGGCAGTCACAGAGCCTTTCACGTGGGAAGGGACCTCTGGATCTCAGGCCACCCAGAGCCGCCTGCCCAGGACTGTGTCCAAACAACTTCTGAGCATCTCCAAGGAAGGAGACTCCTCTGGGCACCGTGTGCCAGCCCCTGGTCACCTGCACAGTGAAGAAGTGTTTCCTCCCATGTTTCAGTGTGTGCCCATTTCCTCTGAGCACCACTGACAAGAGCCTGGCTCTGTCACCTTCACAGACTCCTTAAATCTGGAAGGTCCCCAGAGCCTTCTCTTCCCCCCAGGCTGAACAGCCCCAGCTCTCTCAGCTTCTAAACCAGGAACAAACCAACAGGACCTCTTTTTTTCTCTGACCTCCCAGAGCAGTCTGGAACAACCAATGGCACATCCAGGGAAAAAAGTAAGAGCAGTTAATGGTGTGCTTTCTGCAATGAGGCACATGTGACACTTCCTATAAAGCTACCACCTCAAAGATGAGTTTAAAACCTAAAACTAATGCAGGCATTATCCAGTGGCTGGTGGAGGATTTAATGGGAATTAGACTTAAAAGGCACTTAGGAAACACTTCCCAATGAACATAAAGTGGCCCAGGGTGACAATCAGTGACAGGTTAGAGAACACAGAAATTAAAGCAATAAATCAGTGAATTACAACATAAGGCATAAAAACCATAACGCTCACCAAAAAAGAAGCTTAACAAAACTGAGCCTTTTTCAAATAGAACTGACACTAATATAACAAATATAAACTGGCATTAATAAAGATGAATTTTGAAGATATCTAATTCCAACAAATGTGCATGAAATTGCCTCTCCATCAGGCTCAATGCAAACAATCTGGGATGGAGCTTCTCTTTGATTTCATCAGGGAACTGGCTGCTATTCTGTGCTCTCCAATTTGAATTTTAGTGGAGAACTAACATGTGGCAGGATAAAAAACTCCAATTACCGCACTGAAACTGCAAGCAAACACATTCAAAGTATTTTCAAATATATGGTACAAAAATAATCTATATTCAAACATGAAATAAAGAGGGGAAAAAAGGAACATTCCTCTATAAATAAACAGCTCTTACAGCCACTCCTTTTGAAACTGATGGTTTGTTTCCCTGTATACCACCCTCCTGAGTGTTTTGGTCTTTGCACAACTCTTTGTTCTCCACCAGTTCAACTACAAAAACCAGAATCTAGATCATTTTAACACAGCTCAGATGTTTCTGAATATCCTGCAAAGTATTCAGAAAAACAGATTAAAGAAGTAAATGACAAAAGCAAAGTCAAAACTGAGACCTCTGGTTTAAATTATGGAGAGAGGAGTTATAAAAATTCTGGAGAAAATGGACTCTTAGTTTTACACAATCATAAGGAACTGGAAGCATTTTAAAAAATAAAGAAAAATAAAAGTTCACTTATTCCCTGCATAGAGTCAGAAAGGCTACTGGATCAAATCATTTCCCACCTTGTCCCTGGCCTCAAACAACTGACATTTTCACATGTTCTTTCTGACAGTCAAGAAGAATGATTACTACAAATATTGTTGAAGGACTGGGAAAAAAAAATAATAACCAAACAGCAGCTTTTTACTCAAAGCTTCTGTTCAAAAAAAAAAAAAAAGAAAAAAAAAAGAAAAAAAAAAAAAAAAAAAAAAAAGAAGGGAGTTTCCCTTGCAAGCAAACATGAATTTTCAGCCTTCTAAACACACATGTCTGAAATTCATATTAATAGAAACAGAAAATCAAAACTTTTTCAGCTGGCTCTTTCAAAAGCACCTGCAAAAGTACTTAATTCTCTTGCTGTCAGAGTCGGGTCTGACACCCTAATCTTTTCCTCAGCTTTAAACAAACAAGTCACATTTCTCTGTTTGTTTTGTGCTCCAGTATACGTGGCAAGTCCACATCCTTTTGGCTCTGAAGTTTCCAGGATAGCTGAAGTTATTCCTCTCTTTCAGCCCCAATTTTTCGCCTGTTTATCACACAGTGAACAGTAGGAGCACAGACCCTTGTAGTATTTTAAGCAGTTTTGCCAACTGTATTAATTTTTTTCCCCTCAGGGAAACCCAAGCCAAGTGTTTTTCATGGAATCAGGTCCCAAGTAACCAAATTATCCCCAAAAGCCTAAAGTTTGTTAAACTGCTAGAGGTGGCAAAAGTATAAAGCTAATGACACAAACAAAAACTACATCCATTCTATCCATTCCAGGGCCCTGGACCTCTCCTGTGCTGCACAAACTTGTAACTCCCAAGCTTTTAAGCTGGTATTACAAATTAAAGTGTTAAACCACCACACAGAAACTGGGACATGTGGCAAGATGCTGCCAGGAGACAGAGGTCTGTGTTGCAGGAACTGGTGCAACTTGAGGGGCTTCTGCAACACTCACAAAGAATGTGCAAGATTGTCAATGTAAAAGTCAGTAAAAATGCATCTTTTATATTTATCTGAGTCACATCTGCAGTTTCTCCTCAGGAGTGTGTTACTTAGAGTATATTAACTATTTCTTGAGGCAAGTCCACTCTCAGTAATTCTTTATTCTTTAAGGTCTAAACCAGGCTGACTGTATTTCAGGGTGGATTAGAACAGCTCACAGATCCAGCACATGGGGACACCTGCACAGAAAACCACCAGTCCTAGCAAAAGAAACCAGAGTGAGCATGACTTCGGGTCAGATGACACTCACATCCTCAGCAGAGCCTGTAATGCCTGGATATGACACCACATCCCCTTTCTGGTGTTTGTAAAAGAGTCACCAAACTGCACCTGACACGGCTGGCCACTCAAAAAAGTATTATATGGCATTGTCACCTACAAACTAAGTGAGATCAGATGCAATCTGATGGCTACAAACAGCTCTTCCTGAGCTTCCTTTTCCTACCAGTTTTAGGAGCCTGGAATTTCAAACCAAACACTTTACTGAAGATGAGAACTGTTGAAAACATGAGATAAACTGGTCTGGGAAAGATCAGAGACCTTCCCAAGAGATCAGGGCACAGATTAGGAGAGTTAACCACAGTCAGTTCTGAGTTACCCCCCCTCAAAAGCCACCACAACCCTCCTGACACTGCTCTTCCTGAAAGTACCATTTGTTCGTGTCTTTTTAAAGGCTGTACAGGTGCTGTTATTTATTTTAGCTTTGTTTTCACCCCCCCTCCAGGATACTCCTCTAGAATGCCATGTACTGTAGGCTAATAAAAACAGCTCCTCTGACCAACATCAAACAAAGATTTTACTTACCATATAATTGCTATATGCATGATCAAACATTTCAAGCACTTGATTCCTGAAAAAAAAGAAAAAGCAAAAGCATTAGTGGTCTGCCTCCCAACAGCCTTTAATGCACCATCTCAGAGGTATCACACTTTAATATCTGTCTGAATATCGGTAACAGGTTCTTTACAAACATGCTCTACTCAAGTAAATGTGATATGGCACAGTGATTTTTCCTAATTAAAAAAAAAATCCCAAAAGCACGTTGTTTTTTTTTTTTTTTGAGAGATAGCTTTACTCCCAGGCATTCCTAACTGTTTCACTCAGGAGCCCTGCAAGCAAAAGAGCATGCTAATTCTACCATCAACACAATTCACAAATCTCCGCTGATAAGACTCAACATAAAAGAGCCAAGAACACTGCAATTATACTGTAAATATTCAATTTAGCTCAATTTGAGAAGCAGCTTTAACTCATCAAGTCATCAACAGAGCAGAGGATGGTGCTTTTTCCAGGTGCTTCACAGGGTCTGGGATCTGCAGCAGCAGACAAAGCCTCAGGTGAACTGAGTACACGAAGCTGCTTAAAACTTCCATTTACTGGGCATTTTCTGGGGCTGACATGACCCTGTCATTAAATAAATACACAGATTACCTTATTCAGAAGCGACCCCAAACACAAACCACGGCAGGACGTGACCTTGCACATCCCCGGGGCATCAGATGGTATTTTAAAGTGCAAGATGTTAACGCAAAAATTCCAAAACCAATCAGAGAAAGGAATTAAAACTCCTTGTGAAGAAAAATCTAAAAAGATTATACATACAAAGCGCCCTGGGAACACAAAATGGGAAACGCCAGTGACTGCAAACACTGGAGTTAAATATCAACTTCTGTCTGATGCCTGGACTTGAATGGTCTTGGAGGCCTCTTCCAACCTGAGGGATCCCATGATTAGCAGCCAGGAGAGTATCCAGAGCGCTTCTCCAGCAGGATTTTTGCATGGTTATTCTGTGCCAGCGACCAGAGGATGATGAAACTGCCCCAGTAACATACCAAGGTCGAGATACGCTTAACTACAAACTTCTTTTACAGAAGTCGCACTTAAGGTAGGGAAATATATTTCCAGCTGTGCCGTAATCTTTACCCCTCACTAAAAACTACACCAAGAGAGCATCGGGCTCTGACGTGTACACGCGCAGTTTAGCTCACACACACAGGAAACTCGGCAGGAACACGTATAAACATTTACCTTTTTTATGACTCCCGCACTCTCAGGGAGGCAGGGCCAGCACTGAACCAACCGAGGGCGGATTTGGAGCTACCTTTGATCGCTTTTACCCCCAGTTCCTCCCGGACCAGGCGCCAAGCGCTTGCGAGCAGCGGGTTCCCGGAGCACACGGAGCGACCCCCGAGCAGCCCCGGGAGCCCGGCGGGGCCGCGTCCCGGACCCGGGCACAGGGGACACGTCCCGGGGCTCCGCGCCCGCCCCAGCCCCGCTCAGCCCCGCCGTCCCCCCCCCTCGGCCCGTCCCGCCGCTCACCCCAGCCGGCGCTTCTCCTCCCTGCTCATGGCCCCGGCGCCCGGGGCGGCCGCCAGCACGGAGGAGGCGGAGAGCAGGCCCAGCGCCAGGAGCCTCCAGGGCCGCCGGCAGCGGGCGGCGCGCTCCGCGGCGCGGCAGGGCGGCGGCGCGCTGGGGGCCATGGGGGCCCGTGTGGCGGCGGTGCCGCTACTGCCGCTGCCGGTGCCGCTGCCCGTCCCGGCGCCGCTGGCGCTCCCGGCCCATGGCGCGGCCGCCGCTCCCGCAGGGCCCGGCCCGGCCCCGGGGGCGTAGCCAAGGAAACCGCCGCGCGCCGCCGCCGCCGCTTCCGGGGCCGCCGGGCCAATGGGGGAGCGCGCCGACGTGGACACTGCGGAGGGGCGGACCACAACTCCCGGCGTGCACCGCGCCACGACACGGACCACAACTCCCGGCGTGCACCGCGCCCCGCCCCCTCCCCCTCCCCCGGGCGCGGAGCGTGCGGGGAAATCTGGGAATGGCCGGAATTCCAAGGAACCCTCTGTGAATTCCTGCCGCCGTTAAAAGCGAGAGACTCCCAACGCTTCGACAGCGCCGGCGTTACAAGCGTTTTGTGCGCGTTTAACCGTCGCGTGCAGAGCGCAGTCATAGCCAAGCAGACGGTTCATTAAAGGTGCCGAATTAATGCAAAGTTAAAACTCCGAATAGCAATTCCAAGCTTCAGGAGCTAAAGCTGATAGCGAATTACAAGCGTTTACAGCGCTGCGCTTTCCACCCGTGTGGCAGCTCACAAACAAACGCGTCCCGGGGATGCCCTGCCTGGGATGGAATCGCTGAGTTGGGATAAAGAACGAGGGGGAAGAGGCGTAGAATTGTATCATCACATCATCACAGAATCCCAGAACGGCTTGGGTGGGATGGGACCTTAAAGCTCATCTAATTTCACCCTCTGCCATGGACACGGACACCTTCCACTTCCACTCCAACCTGGCCTTGGACGTTTCCAAGGATGGGGCAGCCACAGCTTCTCAGGGAATTCCATCCCAGTCCCTCACCACCCCCTCACAGGGAAGAATTTCTTCCCAATGTCTAATCTAAACCTGTTTGCAGCCATTCCCCCTTGTCCTGCCCTTATAAAAAGCCCCTCTCCACCTTCCTCACAAGCAAGGACACTCCTCCCGCACCCCTGGGGTACCTTTGTTTAATAAGTATTTGTTTAATAACGCCTCCAACAAATTATCACGCACTCACAAAACCAGCCTCCCAGCAGTGGAAGGGAAGAGCGCCTTTATTTCCACGGCAAGCGTCGTCTTTGCAAAGTTCCAAGCGAAATACAGATGGTGTTTCGCGTCCCCCAAGGAAATCCCCACCCCTCAGCCCCGCTCCCCTCGGGGCACCCTCACCCCATCCTGCCCAGGGAGGCGATTTTTTCACTGCTCTCATTGTGCAAATGAAGTCATTCACTCCAGGGATGTGTAGGAAATTCCAAGAGCGCTACCAAAAAAAAAAAAAAAGGATGGGATGGGTGGGTTATCATCATTTTTGACCAGTGGTCCGATGCAACCTTGCAGATTTCTCTGAGCTCGAACCGGCTGTTGCCTCTACCCATGTCTGGTAAAGACAAGAAAATGCTACTTTATCCATCTGCAAATGGACAGAAAATGTCCAAAAAGGGAAAATAAACCCCAAACCAGTCTCCTATCCATGAGGAACTCCAATTTAAATTGCAAGAACCAGGCAATGTGCAGGCTGAATCTTCCCTGTCCTTCCCTGTCCTGCTTGTGAAAAAGCTCCGAGCACCTGCTTTCAGCAACTCAATTCACATTACAGGAAAATATTACCCAGATCTAAGCCTGCCACAGAAATAACTCCAAAATTACCACGATGGGAATATTTAGTCTGAATGCTCTCTGTACAGATGTGTCTAATTCACACTAGAATGAATTAGTTTCCTTTTGCAGGACACTGCAGTCTTTTTCACCATCATGTTACTTGTCTTTTTCACAAAAAGAGCATTGAGAACCCATTAAAAACCCTAATTTTAGCTAAAAGAGGCTGCTCCTGCTTAACTCTATAGCACATGGTATGAATTTGAAGTCGCTTAGCACTCAGTACCAATTAAAAATAGTTAATGATTTGTAAAAACAAAAGCAGCTGACAGTGAAGTAAGTAATGATTTGTTAAAAAAAAAATTTGGCTGGCAGTGGTTTGTGTGCTTACAAATTAGTATTTTTGCATGAAATATAGGGAGGAAACGAGTCAAAAATCCTTCTGCAAGGAAAACATCTGTGACCTTCGTGCTTCCATACCACAGTATGGCTTCTGGAATAAATAGGAATTGCATTTATTTTACAATAGTGACAGAGAAGTTAGTCCAGTTACTCAACAATGTTCCTTTCTTACACAGTAATATTTGCCTGTTCCTCTAGTGTCAATTCTGTTAGTATTAAGAATATTTTGATAGCGTTAAAAGGCTTTGCAGTCGGTTGAAGTTAAATGCCAACACGTATTATGCTCCCGGGACTTTATTATTTCTTCCCATGTCGTTATGGGCATAAATCCTGCAGTCCTTTCCTGTACTTATCATTAATCTTCGCTGTCCTGTACTGTGTGATGTTCAGAAACAGCCTGAAACACAGGGCCAAAATTTTAAGGTGCCTTAAATTGACCTCTGAAGTGAGGTCTTGCACTTTAAAGCTCAATTTATTAAAAGGCTGCGTTTCATTTCCAAGCTTTTCTGTGCACAGTCCATAAACTTAAATGCAATAACACATACAAGCAAATGCATGCCTAGATCATGGTTTGATATGGATGGTATGTATGTATGAAAACAACTGTCTCCTTTTAATAACTGCTTTTTTAATGTGATTCTGCCCTCCAAAATCTAAGCACACGTAACAAACTTTGGCTGCTTTTCACTTCAGTTAACCTCTCACTTAGAAATTACGTGCAATGATTATGATATTTCACAATTATTGCAACTTAATTACATGATTTCCACACCTAAAAAGGCCTACAGGACTGGGTAACTCAGTAGGAATGGGAAAGGCAGGACTCAGTGTTGTGGATTAGGTAGCTGTAAGTGAATCTGTTTTATGGTGGGAATTAAACCAGACAGGTGATGATAATGGTTATTGTAAACGTTCTCATCTCCTCCTTCCATAAGATAAAACAAAATAAAATAGCAGTAAAGTGCTCTGGAAGGCTAAATAAACCCAGAAGTGCACAGTGGGACTGAGAAACCTGCTCCCATACTTTCCCCATTTTAAATACAGCAATAAGAGAAAAAAAAAATATATATAAAAAAAATCAGAACGTTTGCTTGTCTTTAACATCCATCAAAACTTGAAAATAATTAAGTAATCAGTTTGCAGAGTTTGCTTAGAGTGTGGCTTTTGAGCAACCTACTAAATTAACCATTGGCTTCTGTTTAACTACTAAAAGATCGATTTATTTCCTGTACACTGCATGCAGATACTAAAAGCACCCTCGAGTATGTATGTACCAACCACCAGGATCAGAGCAGTACTTGTCAAATCCACGCACTGGAAAATCATGAGCAACACTAAGAACAGTGAAGTTGTTAAAATAAACTGATGATAGCTGGGAGTGACTCGCTTTTGAAGCATTCAGTGGTCACATTTTCGGACTTTAACCACAAAAGGGAGCAAATTTTAAGTGAAAGATGAGGTTTCTCAGCAGTAACGTGGTTTTAAACCAAAAAGGAGCCCATCACCCATCACTCAGGAAGGGATCTGTGGGAAACCTGGAAGAGCTGGAGATCCCACAACAAAGCCCATTTCCTCTAGCTCCAACCCTAAGGAGCATTCACAATCAAACAGGGATTACTGGAGTAAATAAATCCTGCAGGGCTGGGCTGAAAAACACTTCCTACTCTTCCGAGTTTTGCTGTGCACAGCTATCCTCTCTGTTTTCTTCTGTGAGGGCATCTTTCACTTCTGTGCTTTTGATTTCCGTGTGTGAAGATGATTCATCTCCTGGCTCCCCCTCGCCCCCACCAGCCACTTTATCTCCCGTGACCTTTAAAGCAGCGTTAACCTCGTGCTGCTGTGGCACCAAAGAGACCGGCTCCAGCAGTCCTGTTCCTGGGTTCTCCGTATCCAAAATGGGCATTTCTGCGGGGTCTGCACGTCCAGCAGCGCTCTGAGAGCAGCTCTGTGGCCCCATCTCCACGGGGATGGCGTGGCTGCTCCCTGCTCCTCCTTCCTGCCCAGCCAACCTTCTGCCTTCCCACGCGTTTCCCGCGTGTTCCTCCGGCTGCAGCCTCTCACTCCCACAGCTTCCCACGCCCATGTACCACACGCTTTGCTTCAGCCCCGCCTCTGCTTTTGCCTCCTGAGGCGGGTCCGAGCTTTCCACCAGCCACTCTGCTTGTGCCCCCCTGGACACGCTCTCTAAACGCGTCCCCTCTGTCCCCAGACGTGAGGATGGTCTCTCCTCCTTGAGTCCCACACCTTCTGCTGCATCTTCGCTCCTCATCGTCTGGCTCACCTGGATTTCTGCCACAGCCACTTTACTCAATTCACTGTTGCCTCCACTGTCCTCTTGCAGCTTTAGTATCTCCCCCTCACAGATCTCCTTTATGTTCTCCTCGGGCGTATCTGCTGGTATCTCAACCGACACCATCAGCAAACTCCTTATCTCGTTCACATCATCAGGGGATTTGCAACTCTCTATTTCCAACCTGCTTTCTTTTTCAGGACTATCCCCCAACCCTCCTTTCCCTGTGTTTCCATGCTGGGAAACAACCCTTTCCCCTGTGCTCGCTCCTTGCTCACTGCTTTCTTTTTTACCATCCTCTTCAAACGCTCTTCCTACTGCATTTTCACTCTGAGATAATTTTTCCATCATTTCTTTTTCTACCTCGCTTTTCTTTTCAGCATTCCCTGGAATCTCTGCTTCTGTTACACTTTCCTCTGGGGAAGTCAGCTTTATCTCCAAAACTTCTTCCCGTGCTTTGCTTTCTTTCTCAGTGGCACTGACAAACGCGACATCCCTCGCCATTCGACTCTCCGAAGTTGCCTTTTCCTCCGCTGCTCCTTCGGGTACCTTAGGTTCTTTTTTAGGGCTGGATCCGGAATTTTTCACTGCAGTGTCAGTCCCAGAAGCTACTTTTTCCTCCACAGCTTCTTGTGGTGCCTGGACTTCTCTCTCAGCATCCATCGCACGCTCTGGTTCATTCCCCAC